CAATATGATCTGACCCGGATCACCATTTCCACCCCTGCGAAACCCACCATCTTCTTCAACCCCACCACCGTATACCGATCACGATTCAAAAAGAAACAAAAGGGTCTCAATAGAAAGACCAACTGATGCAGATTGCGTCTTGGAGTGAGCGAATTGAAAGGTGGTGCTCTCTATGTTCTCTGGGTTGTTTCAAGAATGAGAACTTTTGGCCTGTGATTAGCCGCAGTGACCAGTTCTGAGGTGATGCGAATCTGCGGAAGTTGGATCCAGGAACAGAGGAATGCCACTTGTCCCCGTTGCGCTCTATCTCCCAAAATCAGGAATTTGCTTTTCGCTTTTCAGTCCAGTCCTATGAACTTATCTTTTTCAATGTTTTAGTTTTATAAACTATGAAAATTGCATTTCTAACTCAACAAAAACACAAAAACGGGAAAATTACACAAGTCCCCAAACTCTCAGTAATTCACGTTTGCCCCCCGAACTTTAGACTCTTTCGCCGAATTACCCTAAATTTTCATTTTGTTATGACTGTTTTTCTCTCTGTCTATTTCTTTTCATTGGCACGTGCCTGATATGCACTTGCAAACAGAAATATAGCCGGAGGGTCGACGGCCGTAATAAAATGAAGGCGAAATGGCACAAACTGTTATCGAACGTCATCCAATATGCAGTGTTATTCATGAACCTTTAATTTGTTAGATATAGTTTACTGAATTATTGGCAAATGTTTGATTTAGTCCCTAAACTATATGAAAATGTTTAATATCATCATTCCGTTAATTCATTTTAACGGAATTTACTGATATGACTTCCAATCCGTTAAGTTTGAGCAGTGGACAAAAAACAGTTACATGTGGATCATCCACATAAAATATTCATCTCAAATTAGGATATAATAATTAACGCCATCAAATAACGATGGATATTTTAACTCTTTAATTCCTTTTTTTTCTTTTCTAAAGTAGATAAATAAAAATGTGGACATAGTGACCCATCATTTTTAAAAATCTAGCTCTGTATATAATAATTCAAGTCATCAAATAATGGTTAATTTGTTGTTTAAGCAAACAGGAGGACTAAATTGAACATTTTTTAATAGTTCAGAGATAATATTAAATAAATTAAAAGTTTCGAGACTACATTTATACATTGGGTCATAGTTTGGGGACCATTTGAGTCATTATCCCTAAAATGAAAATTTATGAGGTTGGTATAACGGTTGAAAATTCAAAGGCAAACGTGCACAACCCCGAAAGTTTAAGGTATTTTTGTAGTTTCTCCGGAAAGGAATTTACATTTTCTCTATATTGTTCTTCTATTGTCTTGGTCAATCGCCTTAATATCATTTATCTCCACCAAAGAGAAAAGACGTGCACCGATGGTTTCATCAACATTGAAAGTCAAAACTTAACATGGGAGGAGACGTGAACTATGGAAAGAGTTCAAGGAGACAAATTAAAATGTAAAAGTTGACTTAGACAAATCTCGAAAGTATGTGGAGATCATATCAAGTAGTAGTAATTCGAGAGGAGAAAGACTATAGTGTCAGATGATAAATTAGTATCGCTAAAATGTCGAGTGAGATGAAAATTGGCCAGTTGAAATCTACAAAATCACTAAATTCTTCACCGGTCGAGTCTTGATTGAGTCTATTACATTCTCTTTCGAATCACCCCATGTAGGGCCAGACTCTCGGCTCATCCCGATCGACTCTAGTCAAGATGGCTAATACTTTCTTGAGGTGGATGGATCCAACCACTCTTAATCAATCTCTAGGAAAATAAATTCCTAAACACACGTCGAGTTACGAATGGACCTAGGAGAAGCTCGTTAGGCTCGATATTAGGCCAAGCCTAGCTCGGCCCTAGCGGCCGGGTCAAACGTGCCAAGACTATGTCCATCGAGACTCGACCATTGATCAGGTCTATTCGTTACTAATCTCTTTCCGATCAAGCCACACCAACATGGGAATGGGTACAAAATGTGTCGAACTAAAGTTGAAGATCATTCGACCGTGGGCTTGTAATCTAATTCAAGCATAAATCTATTTCTTCTTGGGCTTGATCCTTTAGCTTTGAAGTGCGAGGGCCTAACCCCTATAAGACTTGCATTTGAAAATGCGAAATACATAGCCCATTTGAAAAATCAAGGTAGTAAAAATGACTGAGAATCAAAAAGAGAATGTTTGGCTATTGAATGAATTGCTTGAATTTAATCTTTGACGATAAAGAAAATAATTGAGATGGAGTTGGACCTTAATTTTGTCGCTAGAACCATTTTCTTGTTAACGCTATCGGTAATCACAACCTCATTAGTCAATTTCGGGTCACCACAAAATGTCTCATCCAAGTATTTAATCCGGTCGCGTCTTTGAAGAGTGGCATTTGGTGTGATTGCACTAGACATGCTTGGACGAGGGAGCATCCATTATCGATCTTCATATATGCATCTTTATCTCTATCGTTTAAAATATCACACACCGCTTGTTTACAAGGTTCATATAATCATTATATACATGTGGTCTCCATCCACCTATCAGCTAAATTTTTGGTTTGGACTTTCAAATATGGCACTAGAGCCGAGTTCTATCCCAGTTTATTTCACGTGTACATTTCCCATGTCGCTCGTGATCCAGCTTGCACATGAGAGGCGGAAATGCACAACAAAAAGTGATATTTTTTAATTTCTTTTGGCCATTTTCCCACGTGGATTGGTCTCAAAACTATTCCATTCCTCTTGACAAGCACCAACGACTCCATTGGAGATAGCTTCCTGATGGTGGATAAGCACCTCATGATTGTTGGATCCTTGAACTTGCCCATCTTAGCAGGTAATCACCATCTTCTCGACTTGACCCCAAATCTAGATTAGGAATATGACACTTGCTATTCAATTGGTCTGGGGACCCTCGAATTCCTCTCCTACCGCATTCGTTCATGCACCCTCCAAGAGGAAAAAGAGAGATCCAAATAGATGGGTCAAAAGGGGTCAAAGAAAATGATTGAGTGCGAAAGGAAACAAAAGTAGCTCTAAAGTTTAATAAGCAATATTAGGCAGAAAAAGCATGATCCACAAAATTGATACACTAAGTAAGGAGGTGGACCGTAAGTGGCCATTTATGTAAGTGGATCGCATTCAATGTCTAGAAAAAGATTGCCGCACCATTTAGGTTCCGTTTATTTCGCAAAAAAAAGAATGATTAAAAAATACTTTCTTAAGAATAATCACCTGTATCACTTGAATACTTCGTTGATGAAAATTTTTTCATTATTTAAAACAATAAATGTATAAACATCTAGTGGACGATGAAAATATTTTTCGCACATTGATTTTCGTAAGCAACATGGGCAATCATTTTTAAAAATATGTTTTAATAATTCATTTTCCGAGAAACAAACACACCCTTAATATAGAATAGTTTTGTAAATTGGTATTCATATACCTATGTATTAAATTAAATTCTCATGAGCACTCATGATCTTTTTTCTTTTGGGAGAAGCTCGCACTTGTGCTTTGCACTTGCAAGCATGCTCTGGCCCCATTTCAAGCGGTCCTCCTCTCACCCTCAACAAGACCCCCATGGATGTGCATTGCATCTTGCTTTCTTTTCTTGAATTATTTAGGCAGAAGGAACAAAACAGAAACCCTAAAATCTTGCTTTGTGTAGCTTCTCAAATCCAATCATTCACTCCTTTGAGTTGGCCACATCCATGAGATCATTTCGTCCATTTTGTGGATATGGTATTCTTTAGGTTTTTGGTCGACGTGGAATGGCCCAGCTACAAAAGCTCTTTTGCATTAGGGTCCACTCCATTTTTAGTTCTTTGTGGACCTTTGATATATATTGAGACATCTAATATGCTAGCGCAAAAACAAAAAATAAAGATTTGATGCCTTTTGCTAATTAGGAGGAAAGTTGTAAACTTTATTATTGGGACGAGTGAGTTGTCACGTCGAATTATGAATAAAAGGTGTAAAGGCATTGTTTCTTTAGATTCAAGATCATCTCTTAATGGGCACGAGTCTTTGGACCTAGTGGCCATGGATGGAAGTTCAAAGCTCGGGTGAGCATGGCCATGAGCTTGAAACTCAAGCAGCCATGGCCGCGAGCTTGAGCTCTACGGCCATGGTGGCCACAAGACAAAAGAAGAAAAGCAAGTGCGAGAGAGAAAGAAACGGTCCATTGGTAGCCAAAACATAATCCAAGTCAGTATTTCTTTAACGTCATTAAGTCCACGTCAACAAAATTATATAGAGTGATGATTTTAAATTCCAAATAGAAGTAGCAGGTCATTAATGGGGAAAATTATCAAAAAAATCTTAAACCTATTGCAATTGTGCCGATTTGGTCATAAACATTTTTAATTTGATTAATTCAATCATAAATCTTTAAATTTAGCCAATTAAGTTCTAAACATTTTAATATGGTCGGATGGATTGAATTGATAAATTGTCAAAAGGTTTAGGATTAAATTGGTTAAATTGAAAGGTTTAGGACTGAGTTGTCACAATTACAATAGATTAAGAATGTTTTTTTTTAATAATTTCCCCGTCATTAATGCCATGTTCCTTAAATTAAAAGAGTAGGGGAAGTTGTTAAGCTCGTGGACTAATGTGGGAGGGAATCTGCGCTAGTGCGCGTAATTAGACAAATCAACGATGTCAAGCCCCGGAGAATCTCTAAAATAATTGTATTTATGGGGTAATCTCTCGATCACTACATGATTTATGAAGCCTCATGCAATGCTTCGTTTTCAAGTCCAGTCTTAATCATTGTCCCCTTTAGTAATGCTTTTGAATATATGCATATCATGTTGTCTAGCTGGGGGACATCCTTCAAACCCAATTATAATGGAAAGTCCCAAGAAATTAGAGTACGAATTGCCCACTAAATTACATTATGTCTAAAAGAGTGCACAGTAGGGCAACATCGGAAATCCGAAACAACGAATGAATAAAGGGTCCGACAAAGTCTTTTTTTTAATCAAAGAGAGGCCAAATTATAATATTAGAACATCGAATTATCATTATATTAAGTACTCCATGTTGCACTCGTTTCACAAATTACGGGACTTAACCCTCGTCTTGAAGCACGATATACAAGTAATACAGGAGCTGATCACAATCAAAAGTCGTACGGGATCTCCACAAGCCCTAGGCAATCGATAATAATTTTGGAAGAGCTGACTGTCAACTTTTTTCAGATACGAATCTAGGAAAAACTACCGTAGCCCCTCATTTTTACTATGAGGAATATTACAAGTATACACTTTTCTCTTTAAGGAGACAATTGGGTATGACAAGACTTGCTCTAGAAAGGAAAACTCCATAGGAATATGTATGGAGCATCTTCGTGCTGCTTTTGGGTAACATCAAAGGAGGTGAGAAATCAAGGGTGCGAACTTGGATGGAAGTTGGCATGTCCTATTCTCATCAGACTCTCCAACTCTCTATTCCCATACACCTGCCCCCTCTGCAATGGACATCATTCATCATTTGATAATTTCAGGGAAAATTCGAAATCAGAAAAGAATATTAGAGGAGTGAATCAAAGATATTATTTTCAGAGACAAAATCACACACCACCTGCAGTGTTTCTATTGCGTCTGCCTCTGAACTGAAGTCATAATATGAGCTTGCTGCTTCAAGTTTCATGGAGAGAAACTTAATGGAACAAAAAGAAAATGGAACATCATTTGATTATTTTTGGATGTAAATGGAAAGAAAAAGAAGAATGAAGGACCATAATTGAAATTTTTGATTTTTTCTGTATTCCCACTCACCTCAACTTGACTCTGCAATGACTTGACATATTTAATGATCTCATCCAACATCACAGCCATTCCCATGGTCTGCAATTTTGAAATTCAATCTGATCAGATCAGAACATAACAATGAAATTTAGGCAAAAAAGGAAGAATATTGCTTACCTGATAGCACCCAGGAACAAGATCCTGCAGATATCTCAGCCTCTCTTTGATTTTCCCTCTTCTCACCTGAGTAATATAGCTAGAAAAAATCAACACCAGTAACTCTCGAAGAGCTTAATCGATGTTTTCTGCCAAAGAAAGAGAGAAAATAACTTACCCTTTCTGCTAAACTGTGGCTATCAGTGGCTTGGCCTCTTCTAGCTCTAACATGAACCACATCCCTAGGCTTCTCTTCTACTTTCTCACCACGTTTCCTTCTCTTTGCCTTTCCTAAACTCTGAGAACACCAAAAAAGTTAGTCATGTATAGCTACTCCATAAGTGGAGTGATGTGATATATGTAGACACGGTTTTTTCTCTTCACCTCTGTATCTGACTTTTGAAGTGGTGATGAAACAATTCCTGAGCTGCTTTCAGGAGGTATACTGGACACCTTTCGCTTTCTTTCTTCATTCGAATCGTCTCCAGAGCTGAGCGGCGCAAGATTATGCTCGTTAGGATGGAAAATGCCCAGGAAAATGTCGGCCCAGTTGCTGGGGAAATCAGGGACCAGCTGGTGGGAAAGCAATGGGTTGTCACTCGAGAGAATTGCAGGGCCATGAAAGTTGGAGGAGGGATGTGAATGGACGGCACTCGGGTTTGGTTCGGTGAAGTGGCTCGTGGGTTCGATTGTGTCGATGTTGAGCAAAGAAGAGAAGGGTTGAAAGCATTGCAAGTCCCTTGCGAATTCGGCCATGGATGGAGCTCGGTGACTGTGTGTGTCCTTCCTTGTGTTAGCCCAAACTAGGTGTTCCGGAGAACGTGAATTTGGAGCTTCTGGAGATGCTTTCGAAACGTTTGCGTATTTATATGGTAATGTTAGTTAGTTAACGACAATTTCCATGATAAATTTATTTTAAAAATAAAGTTCTTGAAGTATTAAGAAAAAAATAGTCAAGGAATACTAATTTTTTCCGGCAATGCACCTTTTTTTGGTAATATTGTATTGTACAAGGTAAAGATTGGCTCCTACTAGTAGAAGATATATTTTCATTTTGTCATATGATTTTATCACATTAATTTAGCAGAGTCTGAGATGAGAGAAGGTTCGAATTTGAACACGGTAGCTAGAGCGAGCATGCATGTTGTAAATAGCACATACTTCACTAACTCGTAATATTCCTAATTGTCATACTAATAAATTTGGACGGATCTTTAAACATCTTAGAATGTTTTAATTTAATTTAACTAGTTGTTCATCACTTACATCGTGCATGATACAATCGACATAAATGCCTTGTCAAGAAAATTTTGATGATGTACAATTATCTTTAAAGCCATAATCGATTACCTATGAAATATAGTTATTTATATACACGAATTAAGCGAAGTTTAGTGCATAAGATGCATTATGTTTTTGCAATTGAAATGGACAAACTTCATAGCCCAATTGGAATACATTTCACTATGATTTTATTCAAAAATCAAATGGCATTTAGTCTTGTGAAAATAAGTCACCCTTATTTTTTTTTTATCATAATACATGACAAATTAGTGAAAATAAATTTTTATGTATTCAGGAGGATGTAATATGCCCTAAGAAAAGAATAGGGAAGCTTTGAATTTCGGAAGCCCACGTGGCAACCATTTTATCTTGTCGTGTTCCCTTGTAGGCCCCATATTAACTTGTTAAGGAGATGTACATCCAAAAGCTCTACCCCATGGAAATTGTTGGGGCCGACTCAATGATATGAAAGGAACAGCTTAGCTACAATCTTTTTTATGTGTTAATAGTTTTTTAGGAAAAAAAAAAGTATGGAGTTCCTTTTCCTTTCTAATCTTTCCAAAAATTTTCTAAGTTTAATCTTCTGTAATACGACATATCTAAATCATTTGATTCTATTAATCTCTATGAATGCTCGCGAATGTCTTATCCATGTGTATCTAGTAATGCAGCGTTTGGTCGTCTGAATTTTTAGTCCGGATAGGACTGGATAAAATAGGAAATATAATCCAGGAATTTTGCTACATCCTATCCACTATTTGGTGAATCGTTGTAATAAAGCTGAATACTTTTATTTCCTATCATGTTCATTGTTTGGTATGAAAGACATATCAGTATAAACAGAAATGGTAATAATTTATCACGATTCATTGATAAAGAAACCAAAAATGCAAAATTGGAGATAGCCTCCACCAATTGATCCATAATTATTGTACCATCTTAAATAGCAAAGGAACTTATTACAGCATTCTAGAGCCACATGTTCAATTATAACAAATAGCGAGCACAAGCAATATCCACAAAAGAAATGATCAAGTGCCTGTCTTTAATTCAATGTGAGATTAACAACCTATCATGGGCCAAAAAAAATAAATAACAAATAATTATAAATTATTGTAGGGTTCACTCCTTCAAGAATTAGTAACTCACAATGGCAAAAGACTGTTATGTTAGCAAAGTCCTATTGACGAGGTAGATCAGTCAGCAAATGCCAAATTTAGTAAGAGAGAGAAAATATAATCATTCACCTTCGCAATTCCCAAAAGTATAGTGCTCGGAGGAGAAGGAGTTTCGACTCTCTTGCTGCTTTCGTGGACTTTTGACATGAACCGGAAAGTTATGGAGGAGAAGGAGCTTCGACTTTCTCATTGTATTCATGGAGTTTTGATGTGAACAAAAGAACTATGGAGGAGTCATGAAACTCATAAACCAAATATACAAAGGAGGAGGAGACAAAGAGGGTAGAGGTTTTTTTTTTTTTTTTTCGAAATCTCATTGCCTCTCGTTCTTTGAGAATTTGAAAGATCCTTTTAGAGTTTGAATTTGTTCATTTAAAATTTGTTTCTTCTACTTCATTTTTATTTACATATTTTTTTATTATTTTCCCCTCTCCTTCTTAATTTCTATTTTATTCCCTTCTATCATTCCTTAATAAAAAATTATAAAATATACCTGAAATATGTAATAGATATGAAATATATATTATATAAATAAAAATAGGAATAAATAAAAACGATTTACATTTTCTTTTTTATTTTGGAATTCAAATATTATTTATATTTAATTATTATTTTAATTTTATTAATTTAAGACATTTGTATTTGAGAAAAATTAGCTTTTATATCATGGATATAAGAAATCATGTCCGCCTTTATTCCACCTCCTCTATGAGATATTTTTATCTAAGCATATCCCTCTCATATTCGACCTTATCCAGTCGTGAGCAGGTTTTATACTATCCTGCCTTTACTCACAGGATTATGGGTGTGAGTCAAAATCATCATAAATCACAGACGTGATTACCACAAAAATTTGGGTGCACCTAAAATCAATCGCTCGATCACTTGATCAAAGTTTCCAAATTGCCGCACATTCCGCACGTTATCATCTTAAAGAACCAATGTCAATCATATGAGTTAGACAAATCTATTGAAAATCAAATTATTAAGCGAGACATATAGATCGGGGCATAATATCGTATCTTATAATGACCATCTGCAATAAGTATTGACTTTCGTTATTAGGTTTTCCATATCATTTCAGCTCCAATCATTCCTATATTGTAGTCGCATGTGTGGCATATGAACATGTGGCTAAGGGTCTAAAGATGTCTAGGCACAAATGTTAATTAATTCTTTGAACAATGTCTAAAGGTACTTATGTTTATTTTTTACTGCTCTTAAGATATTTTTGAACAAAACAGATATATTAACCAAGGATTAGAGAAATAAAAACCAACCCCTTTTTCCATGTAATTACTACATCTGCCATTTTATTTTTTAAAGCGACATAATAACCAATGTTAAACATATATATAGATGGTCATAAATATAGGACCATATTATTGCTACATTTGTTCTTCAGTCAACATAACCCTTGGCGTGAAAATTGAATTAGACAAATAATTACTCGATAATAACTTAATCATGGTATGAATGACCTGCATCTACATTCGATCGACCGACTTGTGGAGGATTTCGTCTAGCATAGGAAAGTTGACCTAGGATTAATGCATGCGACACGATTTTCGACACGTGGTGATAAACATATCAATCTCGATAGAACTCTTATTCCTAATATTTAGTTTGAATCTAAATCTAAGATGAGCACATTCGGTAAAGGTGGACTATCAATTCAACCGTGTCTCAATCCTAATAAGGGTACCGCCTTTCACTTTTTCATAGATATCGTGGTCGATTTCGATTGTCCAATTGTCTAATCTTATCTACACTATTTTTTCTTTGGAAATCTCAACTACATTTGACTCCCATCTCTCTACTCCTCTTCCAATCACCACAAATTTCCCCTACGAACAAAACCCTAATTGATACCAAATTGCCCATGCTTATGGTAGTACAGGTTATTTTTAGCTAGACAGTTGAAAAGGCCAAATCCCATTTCCCATAATGAGATATTTATTGATTTGGGAGTAGTTTGACTGTGACCCACGAAGGTTTAATGGAGTTGAATGAGTGGATAGTCCAACAAAAAGTTCTGTGGCTGCTTTTTCCGCCTATACATGGAAACGACTATATGGGAGAGTTGTACTTCTCGATCTAAAAAGGTTGCATTCAAATTTTGCTGCCAAATTGACAGTCTCCTAATTTGATTCTTACTTTTTTGAAGAAGTGTATCGAAAGTCCTAAAACTTGTTATGAATGTATAATTGAGTTCTAAAACTTTCAAAAAGTATAATTAAGTCCTAAAACTTGTTACGAAAGTATAGTTGAGTCCTAAATTTTCTAAGAGTGCAATCAAATGCTAAAACTTATCAAATTGGTCCAATCAAGTCATTTCGTTGATAACACTATTTGAAATGTTTAGGCCCTGATTGCACTTTCGTGACAAGTTTTAGGACTTGATTGCACCTTTTGAAATTTTAGGACTCGATTGTACTTTCAAGACAAGTTTTAGGATTTAATAGCACATTCGTGATAAGTTTTAGGACTTCTAGTGCACTTATCTCCATTTTTTAATACCATTAATAATCCCAATTGATAACTCATGATATGTTTAACTCGAACTAATTTTCTCCTCATCAGATCTGTCTTCGTCTGCTATGTATATTGATACTACATATACATTTTGACTAATATTGGACAAAAAAGTAACAGGGGGCAGATTTAAATCAGGAGTATCGGTTAGGATTTTTGGTGCGATAAAATTAATTTGGTATACATGTATAGTGGGGTATTGATTTGAGATTTCTTGTGAGACGAAAATTAAATTGGGATTGATGTGTCATAATGTACCGATTTGGGATATTTAATGGTATTAATATTTTTTCCGTTTTCCTCTAAAAGGACGTCTCTCATTTCTGGTAGGACTCCTCCTCCGATTTTTTTAGTCCGTTGTTTTGGAGTTTCTAGGCGGTAGCTCATTTGACCGATTGAGAAAGCAAGTCCAAAGATAGAAAATTAATTAGGTGACAATTGATTTCGAGATTGAAAAAATGAATACAAAAATTAATGCGAACCTAAAGATTAGGTGCCCTAACAAACCATTTGCTGCCCAAGATTACGAAGTGAATGAAGATCTAAAGTCAAATATTTCTAGAGATTGTGTTGGGATCGATGGGCTATGGATCTTCCGACCAACGTAATCAAAGTCTTGATTAACACATGGATTTTCGAAGCTTTCGTAACAGCTTTTGAACGTGAGCCCAGCTCCAGAATCTTTATCCGACAGCAAATATTCTGCTTTTCTAGATCCTGTGTCTTTATACCTCGGCTTCCCAGCACAAGCAGGGAATTCTGGATCAGGCGTTAGTGGTTAGGGGTGTGCATGGGAACCTTCCCGGATCGAACCGGCCAGTTCCAAGCAGTCCCCAGTTTCCTGTTCCAGGTGCAAAATCGAACTGTTTGGACTGACCGGACAGAACCAGACCAATATGTTTTTTTTTCTTTTCTCTTAAATAGTGAAGAAAAAGAAATTGCCAAAACCCTTTCCGGGTGTCGGGGGAACGGGCCCTACCATTTCGGTTCTCGGTTCTAGGGTGGAACCGGTCTAATTCTAAAACTGATCACCCTTAGTAGTGGTGCATTATTTCCCAAAAAAAAAATTATAATGATTTTGAAAATTTTTATAAAAACGAACATTTGTGTTGATTTGAAAAATTAGTCAACGGATAATATTTTCGTCTTAAATAACTAAATATGCCCAAACATTTTTACTGATCATGAAGATGTTTGTCGTTGATTCATTTTTGCAAATGGTACAAGCGATTATTTTTAAAAGATATATATTTTTAAAATTATTGATTTTTTGCAAAACAAGCGCACATGATAATCTTAAGACGATTTTCTTTTATGAAAGGGGGATCTTAGGGTTTGAGAACGAATAAAGGGTGCGTTTGGTACAGCTTTGGGAAGGGGCTTTCAGCCTCGAAAGCTCCTTCCCAAATCGGCCTCGAAAGCTCCTTCCCAAAATGCTGAACCGTTTGATTCAATTTTCGGCCTAGCATTGGCCAAATGCTAGCATTTGGAATTCCGAAAGCCCAAAGCTGGTCCGGACCACCTTTGGGCTTTCGGCATTCCACAAATGCTGAACCCAAATTTTTTTGTCCCCAAACTATCCTCACTTATTTTGGCTTATTCCGATTTTGCCCCTCTTGTTACTGTTCATCTTCTTCATGAGGCGGCCGGCGAGGGAGGCCGGCGAGGGCGGCCGACACTGGATCAGGCCGGCGAGGTCGCACGACCCGGGCGACAGCCACCTGAGGTCGCGCCACTACCGAGGCGTTGCCTGCTTGGGTCGCGCAAGGCCTCGGCCGCCTGGGTCACACGACCCAGACAACGGCCGCCTAGCCTCAGGCGACGGCCGCCGGTGACAAATCTGGCTCACCGGGGGTCGCTCGACCTCGGGCGATGGCCGCCGGCGCCAGATCTAGCTCGCCAGCAGCCGTAAGCCTTCGCCAGTCGCCGGCTCCGGCGAAAGGTACGGTAGGGTTTTTTGTTTTTTAATAAAAAAAATAATTCCCAAAGCCCTTTTGCAAAAAAATTTTACTAAACACTACTTAGGCTAAAGTAGCTTTACAAATGATGTTTTACCAAACGCCTCTTGCATTTCTCCAAAGGGTTTTAACCTAAAGGTATTTGCATTCTCCCAAGTAGCATTTTGAAAGTTGAACCAAACGCACTCAAAATCAGCCGACAAGCACTTGGTTTTGAGGGAGGCCTAATGAACTTGGGCTTCCCTACTATATAGGTTAAGGGCTAGGCTGGATACATGTGGGTTAAAAAAAAAAGAAAAACCAAACAGAATTTGCAGACTTGGATTGACAAAATACTATACGGGTACCGGTCGCAGATAGATTATTGGCAAATGACGTTTTTGAAATTTGGTTCAATGTGTAATGCCATCCCTGAATTTTTAATTTGTTTAATTTGATCCATAAATTATTGTAAATGCTCAATTTAGTCATTAAACTACGTGAAAATGAAACAAATGGAATGACAACATTGAATACTTGCCAACAGTTCAAGAAGTCCCGGAGCAACACTGCGTATTAGGCCAAAGTTAGTGACCACATTGCACAAAGTAAAAGTTCAAGAATGACGTTGCGCATTGGACCGAAATTCAAGGACTATTTGTGTTAATATCTCTAGACTGGTCAATACTCTTAACTTCTTCTTTTTTCAGGCCTGACAAAGTTCCTGTGATTTATTACTATTATTGTCCCTAATTTGACACATTGAGAGACTCATGTTACATGATCAGATGATGAAGATAATAAGCCAAGATAGAGAAATTGGTCAGGCAAGAACATTGTGCCTGCAAATTAGATACTGGCCAAGTAAAAAAGAGTTCGGAGAAGTGTTTGATCTCCTTCGCGGACGATGTTCTCGTTCTATTTCCGAGGAGAATTTCGAAGACGTGGTACGCCGAGCGAACTTTCGAGCATCAGATCGAGTCGACGACTCCGGCGGATCCACTAAAATGCAGGCCATCCGCATTGAATTTAAACTAGTGGCTTATGAGTTATACAAAAAATATTGATAATGGCTAGGGTTTTGGCACCCCTAGTGGTTTTTGCATATAATTGTTTTCAGTGCATGTGGAACTTGAGGGTTTGGATATAAGCAAATCATGAACCTTACTTGACATCCTTCGATTGTACAAACTCATCCCTTCCTTTGGTTCTTTTCATTTTGCATATGTACAGTAATACGAGACGATGTTGTTGCGACTTGGAAGATAATGCCCGATTTTGTTCGATCTGAAAACATGTAATTTTATTCATAAAGAAGTATTTTGGTAAATGCTAGCTGACACCATTCTCGAGTTACAGCGACGGCGATCTCGTCAAGTGTATACTGGTTTACGGGTCTTTGCGACGTGATCTCCACATACGTAATAGGACTTAAATCACAACATGCATAGTGTGAGACTTTGCTTACGATAATGTCATACATACTAATATATCAAACTATTTTATTTGTAAGTACACATGATGTACGCATGCTGCTCACACGTATGCAGGAAAAATAGGGCTGAGTGCCTAAGAAGGACAGATGGTGAGGTCGAAATCGGCCGAGGAAATGACCGTGGTCGCTCGAAGAAGACGACCTCCTGCTTCACTACATCGCGCACATCACGGCGAAGGCCGGTGGAATCAGCTAGCTAACAGTCGGGGAAGTTTGATTGATAACCGCGTAGTTACCGTCATATGAATCGAGACATGCGAGCGTGCGCGACACCCTATCGCGACGTATCTCATCTTCTTGTTTTCAGCTTAATCTTCACTGATGTATGGTTCTGTGTTTGATTATTATGTAGGTGAAGGGTAGAAAGAGGACTGGCAAGAGTTGCAGAGAGAGAGAGATGAAGCTTCTCTCCAGAAGAGCTGCTCTCGGTTCTTTGATCTCCAGTCTAAGTGGGGCAACAGTTAATCATCGAATGCATACATTTGGATTCATTCTTGATGCGGACGGCAAAGCATTTCGAGAAGCTATCCATCGCTTCTGGATGCCGAGTTCGCATCAGAGAACACAAAGACTCCGTTCGCATCATCGCCCCGTAATGGCGTCGGGCGGTTATTTCTCCAGGAGCTACTAATGATCGCGTCCCTCCAAAGTTTAAGATATCGGCACAACTACCATACGTCTCGCTCGAAAAGGGACATGTCGGTAAGGCAAGCGGAACTACGCCGGGTTTGCACCGTCCCGAGCGGGATTCGGAACTCGAATAACTTGGCAGGGGGGGTTTCGCGCTTTTCTTCTTCGGAACCTCGACGGAGGATCCCGAGCGAAGCATCCCGCTTTCCCGAACGTCCTCTTTGATCATTCCACACTCTTCAATGGGATGGAAGCTCTTGATAGGAGCTGGATCGACTGTGATCTGAAGCGCAGGCATGATGTAGTGATTCGAAACGTACGCTTTGAGCGAACAACAGCTGAGAGTAGCATGATTCAGTGCTGGGCCCGAAAAGCCCATTCTTCCATTATGGGCTGAGAATAGCCTCGGCCCGTATGGCGGGCCCAATTGAGCCCGCTAGGCCTGTAGAATTCGCCGCGTACCAACGGCCTAGATGTCTTTTCAGGGGGAACTCGGCTCTCATCTGGGCCGCTAATCTTTCATATATAAGCGGCGGTGTCTCTTCATCCTCCAAACCCTAGACAAAGCCGGACGCCTTCCACCGAGCTAGAGCCGTAGGGTTTTCACTCGACTGTGCAGCAGGCAGGCTCTCCTCCAGCTCCCAGGTATTCTCCTCCTCTTCGGGAATAGCATCTTCTTCGTCGCTTGTTCGATCTCGGGGGGCATGGCTGCGAAAGGGTAGAGCAAGAGTTGCCATTGTAGTTCGTCGTCGGGTCTCTTGTGTGCGTGTGATTTTGGTTTTTGTTCGTCGGAGAGGTCGAGCGGATCTGTATCCGTGATGGGTTTTGGGAGATTTGATGTTTTCTTGCTGGAGAAGAGTGAAAGATGCCTTTTTTCGGAGTGGGGTTCTCTGGGAAGATGAGACGAGGTTCTGGGTGGCTTGATTTTAGAGTGGAGGGCTGCATCTTTTTCTCTTGTTTCCTTGTGTTCTGGATGAGGATGAGCGAAGTTGGAAGCTTTTGGAACTCGTTTGGCACTGAGAAGGATCGACCCAATCGAGTTTCTGTTGTTTGGTTGTCTATATGCTTGTCGTCGACATTGTGTGCGAAATGGTGTGGAGACATTTTACATATGCGTGTCGGGATGGTTTTATCCTCCGCAATAATAAAAAAGACGAGTAAATAAAAATGGAGTCGAGGAACCCGGATTTCGAATGAACAGTATCGAGATCGAGAGCATGTGCGATGCCCCATGCGTGTCGAATTGGGGGGTGTTGGTTTTTAAGGAAGTGATGACATTGTGCGAAAAAAGGGCCTTTGCACCTGTTTTTCATTGCGATGCACGAGTTTGTTTATTTGGTCATGACCGAGCTGACCAGTTGTTGTAACGAGCAGGTTTGACAAGATGTACACGTCGAGGAGGAAGATCCACAAGGACAAGGATGCTGAACCCACTGAGTTTGAGGAGTCTGTTGCCCAGGTTTGATTGCTTTCTAGTTCATATTAGTGTTTCAAATTTTTTTGTTTCGCCGAACTATTTTTCTGTAGTGAATGTGTTTTCTCTTGGCTGATGCTCATCTTCTTTCAAAATTATTGCAGTCCTTCTTTGACTTGGAAAATACCAACCAGGAGCTGAAAAGTGACTTGAAGGACCTTTACATAAATGCAGCAGCGTAAGAGTGCATTTCGAGCTTCGTGATTATCATTGAGAAAGAAATGCTTTTGTATCAATTGATAAAATATAGTTGTTCTTTCTTTTGCGTTTTAATGGTTTTTTACTTATAGGGTTGTTTTATCCTTTGGCAGTGAAATTGATGTTTCTGGGAGCAAAAAGGCTGTTGTTATTCATGTTCCATATAGATTGAGAAAAGCTTTCCGCAAGATTCATGTTAGGCTTGTGCGAGAGCTTGAGAAGAAACTTAGTGGGAAGGTAATGGGAAGACGTCTGCTCTCTTTTTCTCGTCAATAAGTACTCATGTTCTTTTCATCATTGTAGCTGACATGTTTTAAATTATTTTTTTCGTTGAATAGCAATGAAGTTCCAAAGTTAGCTACTTTTATTTTGTTTTCTTCCCTTTCTCGAAGTTCTCTTTCCTTGTTATTTTATTTGACTTGCCATCTTCTTTTTTACCTGTTTGATGTTGTGTTTGTTTCTAGATGAAAAATGTTGTAGCTCATTCTCACTTCCTATTCTTTAAAGTTCCTCTGTATGTGACATGCTGTTGGTTTTGCAGGATGTGATTGTGATTGCTACCCGCAGGATATCAAGACCGCCAAAGAAAGGTTCTGCAGCTCAACGCCCTCGCAGCCGCACACTCACAACGGTGCATGATGCAATGCTTGAGGACATTGTATTGCCTGCTGAGATTGTTGGAAAGCGCGTTAGGTATCGACTCGACGGTTCCAAAGTTATGAAGGTAGGGGAATATCGCATTAGATCTTTAGTGATCATCCTCAATTTAGAGTACCTTATGACCCTTTTCTAACTATACGGAATGCCGCTCCCCAATGAATCAAGTTTCGCCACTCACGAGAGTGGTTACTTGCTTTGTTTGACTGTGTACGCAAGTGTTGTGGTTTGATACTGAATAGATTTTCTTTTCTCCGTTTTATAGGTTTTCTTGGACCCGAAAGAACGGAACAGCACAGAGTACAAGCTGGAGACTTTTTCAGCTGTCTACAGGAAACTTGCTGGCAAAGAAGTTGTGTTCGAATATCCAATTACGGAGGCATAGACCTGCTAGCAAAGAAAATCAGATGTTTCTTTTCTAGTTTCATACTCCAAATTTTGGCGTCGAGAGAAGTCGGCTTATGATGATTGAACCTTTGTTGGGGGGTTTTTACTATTTATCTCGTTATAAACTTTGTCTTTTATCCTATGAATCAGGCATTATCCTCAACTTTTGATCTGATTCATTCTTCTCAAAGTTGTAGTGGAGGCCAATGTCAGCTGACAATTGCTATGCGGTTCTTGAAAATGTTGCTGGAACTTCTTTAAAATTTCTGCCAGGAATTCCTCGTTTTTGATATTTGGAAGTAGAGGTTGCCACATGTTATTGTATGGATCACGAGATTTGGGCTATGATTCAAGCTATATAACCTAGCCAGTCAGATAGTGACTTTATTTGTGTCGGTCATCTGTTTTTGCTCCTTTGCAGTTTGCATGAGAACTGTCTCTTCTATGTGGATAAAATAGATGAGTGGTATATTTCTAACACGGCATAATCGTAAGCGATATAAGTTGTGGAAAATATTGGAAGTTAAGTTGCATTATTTTCCTTTGAAAGGAGAAAATGTTCAGTGGTTTGCAATTGTGACGTCATCAACTGAGTAACGTGTTTACAGTACCGCATATATAGCTAATGGGGAAGAACAAAAATTTAGAACCTGCCCATTTCTCTCTTCCTGCTCGACCTCCGGACACTGTCGCCACCGGCAGAGTCACATGTGCCGCATCCAGGCCGATGACCTTCTCTGTCATATTTGGAGCAACAACGAAGGCCCAACTCAAGTTACAAATTCAGATCTCGATGAGCGAAAACGGAAGGTTGGCTCCATCGACCGCGGGATCTCTGTCGCTCATGGCCATGGAGGAGCAACGACAAAGGCACAATATGTGGACAAGCACGACGCCAGATCTGGATTTGGACAATCAACGATGGAGGGGTGGTTCAGACGGAGGGGTAGCTTGGGTCGATAGCTAGCGATGCTAGAAGGGGTGGCTCTGCTTGGACGTGTAGGACGCGGTGCCGATCACGAGAGGTGACTCTAGTGAAGCCAAGAAACTTTCATGGCTGAACTTTCATAATGAACTCTACGCAATTATTTTTTCTATTTAATACCATATCAGCACGCACTAGTCAACTTTTTTTTTATTGACGGAGAGAAAAACATGACTGCCACGTCACCTGATGTTGTGGTAGCCGCAAACCACCGAATATTTTCAGTCATGTGATGATGGAGCACCAAATATCATCACTCCTCATTCAAGTTTCAGTCAGGTTTTGGGTTTGTGGTTGGAGAAATAACTCAGAGAGCGGCAGATTGGAACGTAGTTCTGAAACTGCATTTGGAGCAATACTTTCACGATCATCACTTCCCTGCCAAGTTGATTGTCATTGTAAGGAAGAGGGATTCGATGGATTAAAATTTTTGGAATGTTGCTTAAATAGTTAGGCTTAAAAAGCAGTAAGGGCTGCAAGATATCAACAGGCAATTGAAAATGTTAAGATCACTTTGGTATATTTGCCCAGCTTTTGCAGTAAAGCTCAGTGAATGTATTGTCCTGTAGACCCTATAACTGAGGACTGCATATGAGCGGATGCCCACCGCAGAAGTCGGGTATCATGTATACCTCCCTAATTCAATGTAATGTTGGAACAAGAAATTGTCATGTGGAGTCAAGCATTGAAATGGTGTCAGGGCTTCATCGCAACTTCAGAATCTGGACCAGAATGCATTACCTGGAGAGATCCAGTCAAAACATTTTTAGCAGAAGCAGCTTGAATGCTACTAGGTATTTGCAGCAATTAGAGTAGACCAAAATGCTCAGGGTTGAAAAATGGAGTCAGGCCGCATTGGTATTTGCAGAAGCATATCTGGTACGTGCATATCATGTTGAAATCATATAAAGTACGATGATATACTGTCGTCGACTGAAATCGAATTGGTCAAAATCAGGGGAACTAAGTGGAAAGAAGATTCTAGAGCATTAATAGAAGTTAATGGTCGAGGAATAATTCTAACAAAAAATGAAATTGATTGAAGTGGCTTCAGATATTGATTCTTCTGCTCATATTTAGGACAAGAAAACAAAACCACATTTAAGGCCATAGGATAAATTCTTCAACCACTGGAAACCAGAAGTCTAGGGGTGAATGATCTTAGAGTTAAAACTTGCACATCCATTCGAAAAGAGTGCAGCAAACGTAGATGGTGGTTTCTTCAAAGGATTTGACGAATGCAGAAACAATATTGTTTAGGTTTGAAATGCCTTGCACAAGTATTGTGAACTTTGATAAAGGTCTATTGGCAGCACCATTTTTCGGACAACTATCATCAAGGATAATTCATTGATTGCAGGTAGCAGAACGAGATCATGCACCAATTAGAATGCACTGAAGGATTCTGCGGGACTAAAGATCTGACTTAGCGCCGGAGAAAAAAATTTAAATGAATTTCAGATTGTACCTTAGGACAAGATAACTAGACCAAGGTACATGGCCCCGGAAAGAAACAGCAATGATATCAAACCCCTGCAAGAGGGTTTCATCGTGATTAGTAAGTGCAACAAGAAGAGACGTGCACGAGACAGAGCAAGCAACCGTTACAAGTGGAAATCAAAAAAGAGAAGATATTGTCATCAAGGACCACTTTTCTTTCAAAGTAAGGTGCTCACCAGATTGCACCCCATCCAGCACCATTGCAACAAGGACATACTTCCGCAAATTTTTCCGCATCACTGGTGTGGACTCTACGAGATATCAAATCATCATATATATCTGTGATACCATAGCATAAGAAGGATCAGAGCAATGTTCTACACGAATTGATAAATATGCTTCAGTTTCAGAAAATACCATAAACAGAAAACAAGCTGTTCATTACACCTGCAGGTGTGAAAAAGGGACAAAACTCCAGTCACTATGTTACATAGAAGGAATTCCACACGACTAGAAAATCACTATAGAAGAAGAATAAGAAATTCACGTGTTTCTTTTACCAATGAACAGAATGACATAGCGAAGAGCTCGAGCTTTTGTTGTTTCTTGGAGAAGCCAAACCACACCAAGGAATACAATAAATCCTGATAACTCCACATTCATAATTCAGGAAGAATAATCATATTCCTGGTGAATATTGTATCATGGAAAGCCAGAGTTTATCTGGATCATATGATTACCTACCTATACAAAGCCCTCGAAGTGTCCACTGCAAAAACAAGAGGAAATTATATAAATCAAAGATGACCGATCAGTCAAGAACAGTCCAAAAAAAGTAAGTTACGTTATAAACACCATGGGAAGGCACAAGTCAAATGGTACAAGTCAACTGCAAAGAAAACTATACTTATTCATGTCAAGAATAGAATTTTGCAACTTGTGAAAAAGTTCTTTCTCCAACTTCATTCAACAACACAAATTGATTAGCATAAGTGCACGTATGTTAACTTCCCACCTTCTGTAATTGGTTGAGCTGATAAGCATGAAACTAAAAACTATAGAATAATCCAACACTATATTTTGAAGACCCTCAATTTAGAAGCTAGAATAGGAGAACAAAGACTCACATTTTTAGCCACAAATAGGACAATAACAAGAGCAACGAGCAAACAACCTGCTGCAATCCTAGATGTAAGAAGATTTGTAGAAGCAAGGATAAAGAGCATTCCCCAGAATGATGAGCCGAGATCTGAAAGGCCATGACAATTAGAGAATGAATCATAGATTTGTAGCGATACTGAAGAAACAATCTATACAATCAATCCTCTACAAGCTAGATTTTAAATGACCGACTATTACTCTCTCATGTCATGCTGGAATTCCAAAATTCAAACGGATGGTTTTTGTGTTAAGGCAATCAGTGTATGTCGAGATGACAAAGGAAAATGCGGAGGTTAGAATTGATACATCCAGCTGGCAGGATGAAACAGTATATTCCACCACGGGTTTGAGTACTTCCACCTTCATCAGCATGAACCTGAATTCCTTCCACCTGAGAGTGTATTTAAAGCAATGAGTCATATGTTTTCCTTCGCCAACAGCAAAGAAAAGCAATCAGTGAAAGCATCGCAATGACTTACCTCTATGCAAATGAATGGCCTCCTACTAAATCTAAGATGAGGCTAAAGAAAGATTCTTACGTGGCCACATGTTAGTTTACAAGCAATGGCATGGCTTGCCTCGTGAAGAAATACTGTTACGAGCTTAAATGGCTTCAGCAATACTGTCCTCCATAGCTACAGAAGGAAGGATCTGTCAGTATACAATAGGGAGACAAAACTTACAAGTGAGAACATAAAAGAGCGACAGGCAATATGATCAAAAGTTGCTGGAATATCTTCGCTTTTGGATGAATAAAACTTAGGTCTCTGAGCGAGTGCATGCCCAAATTGCACTTCAGAGTACTGAAGTTAAACTTTAGTTGATATGTACTGGGGAAAATCGGCCCTTAGTGACCTTTCCTAGAGCTATTTTCTGCTACGTCATGATTTCAACGGATTTATGGTTTCAGTTCAAGTTCTTACTACAAAATCTCACATACCCAATAGCCCTTTTATGATGATTTACCGGTTCTACAGCACAAGTACTGACGTGACCAGAGAGAGAGAGAGAGAGAGCCAAATCTGCCAAGTTCTGATGTTTCTAAACTGAAAAACAGAACGAAGTAAGACTCCCGTACAGATGCAAATCAACCTGGGTAGCAAAAGTTTATAAATGGGCACTTAAGAGAAAAGCAGCGCTCAATGTTTTGGGCATGACTACAGCAAAACCTCACAGAAGTTTAACACATCCTCAAAGGCCAGCCACGAGAGAGTTGATCTAAGAGACACTGTCTCGAGAGAGAGAGAGAGAGAGAGAGAGAGACCATACCGCGAGTATAACGACAGTGCAAACAGAGACGGAGATCAAGAACACAACTTGCTCGTGATTGCAACAGTTCTCGAGCTCCCAATTGGGTGTCATCTTCCCTAACACCTGAACAGCTTCAAGAATATCACCTGGATCTTTTGCTCACCGACTTTTTATTCACCCTCCAATCTTTCTTACGGGGATCCCTAGAAAAAAATAATCACAGGATAATGTAGGCTCATTCACAAGAGTGAGGGATCACTGTTTCTCTCTCTCTCTCTCTCTGTCTCTCTCTCTCCTTGGTGAGATTTGAAAAATTTTGAACTGGGTAGTAGAGAAAAGGGTCTCATTGGACAGTTACAGAGCGCCCCTCCACTCCCAATGAATTTAATAATCAAGAAAACCCAAATTGAAAAAGATGAAAAAACAAGAAAAGGAAGAAACTTACCAAAAAAAAAAAACAAGAAAAGGAAGAAGGTGATGATGAGGGAGGTCAATGCTTGCAAGAAAGCGAGGTTAATAAGTCTACGAAAAGGCAAGAGACTTGGGAGGAATCACGTTAGATTCAGGAAGCAATCCACTGATTGGCTTGCCATGAATTATAAAAACCAAGGCAAGGGGAAGGGTGGAGTCTTGCTTTTTCTTGATGGTTGCGGGGCGTTCGTGTCTCTTTCGGCGAAGATGCTTCTTGTTCACATCTATCCGTCTGGAGAGAGAAGAGAAGTTGGCAAAGAGACGAGAGAGAGAAAGAAAGAGGAACGACTCCAGTAAAAATGCGTTCGACTTTTGTCGGTCTGATGATGAAGATGCCCCGACAGTTCTGCAATTATGGCGCCATGTGCGAGATGTTGTATTCGTTCATAATTTCTAGGGTTAAAGCCAATTCTTCTTCTTCTTCCTTTTTACAGTTATTACTTTTAATTATTTTTTTTAGGAGTGAAAGCTAAGGAATGAGAGCAATGCAATGGATAGGAAAGTTTGATTTACAAAGTGATGCAACAAGTTCTTATTGAGCGTTTAAATGGACCCATTAACTTTATGGAACGGTTATAATTTGTCATGTTGTTCCACTTTTTTGGAACCAATTTGGCAAAGTGTACTTTTTTGGATTTAGAATGCACTAGGTGGTTATTGACCTTAATTCGACCTAGTAATTTGCAGATTTGAGATCTGATCATCCCCCGATTCACATGCTCATAATGATCTCGAGGATTAGGCTCGTGCTTCTATGGCTAAAGCCTTGCAGGCACATAGATAGGGTGGTTTGCATGCATTCCGAAGATTGGTCGAGTGAAAACCTTGGATATCCTGGGTTGTAAGAAATAAAATATATCATCGATGCCAATGTGTACCATCTTGCGGGGATATGATTAGAATTGCATTACTCATTGGTAGAGTTATGTGACTGTTCACGAGAGAAAAATTTCGAATAAGTAGTTTAAATTTGAATTGTATCTCAAATTTTAGCAGGAAAGTACGAAGAATGGACAAAGTACCGTGAGAACGAGAGATGAGGGAATTAAGTCAAAGGATAGATGAATATAAGTTTAGGAAGGGTGGAAAAAGAATATTCAATTTGGCTCCGTTTGTTTCGCGAAAAATGTGATATTTTTGAAAAATAATTTCTAGAAAGTCATTTTCCAGGAAAATAATAATATTTTTCGGTATTTGACTAAGACCTAATAATGAAGTATAAAATATTTTCCGTTATTTGGTAAAAATCGACAAACATTATTCAAGCGCTAATGACTAACGCATGGGTAGCCAAGGAACTCAGCATGGGCACTGGGGTCTCAAGCCCAAATCCCCGACTCTCGCGCATGGGCATGGGCACTGATCTAGGGTCCACTGAAATCGAGCCCAAGAACTTGGTGCCCGTGCCCGGCTCTGTAGCACACCGGCCCAAGTCTATAGAGGTTGGGTCCAAGTCCCCGGCGGCTAAGCCTAAGTCTATCATGGTTGAGCCCCGGACCCTAGTGCCTAAGACCTAATAGACCTAGCGCCCAAGCCTAGGTCAATTGAGGCCAGGCCTCTAACTCGGCACCCGGGCCTCTAACCCGGCCCTCGGACCTAGGTCCATCAAGGTCGAGCTCAAGACCTTGGTGTCCATGCCCGAGTCTATCGAGGCCAAGGCTCGGTCCCCAACGCCCAGACTCAGGCTCAAGTGCTGGGGACTCGACCCTGCTGCCATTGGCCAAGAAATGAGCGTTGGGGTTTCTATAACCAAGAGCATAGTTTTTAATTCAAGCGCCGATACCTAGTCATATTTTGAAAAATAAATTTCGATTTTTTTATAGAAAAAATCATTTTTCAAAGGGTTAATACCACCAAAAATCCCAAACTATGCCATTTGTGACATATTTACTCCAAACTTTTTTTCATGACACAAAGCCTCAAACTATGCCAATTGTGACACATTTACTTCAGACTTTTTTTTGTAATACTAAAAACTCCAAACTATGCATTTTGTGACATATTTATCCAAACTTTTTTTTTCCGTCCAAAATCACTATTCATCGCATTGTTCATCGTCTTCTCCAAGAAAAAATTGCACTGTTTATCGTGAGTTTACCGTTGATTGTCGTCAAAGTTACTGTTTATCGTCTTCTCATTTGGCCAGAGCTCGTCCGTCGAACGCGTTCGCCGGGTTCATTGCCGGCCCGGTGTAGCTCGACCCAACCACCACTAGCCCCACCGTCGCCATCGCCAGCAGCCACACCTTCACCAGCAGGCTCCTCGGCCTCTCCAAGAAGATCACCAGGACGACACCCTGGCCTTATGTTTCTTTCGTCAAAGCAAAGCAAAGGCCGCCTCCCTCGTCTCTCCCCCGCTCTACACTTCCGCTTCTAGGATCTCGCCGGACTTCGGACACCCACAAACGCTGAACCTCGTCAATCTCCGTCCCAAGACGCTGCCTCTCCGGCCGCTGAAGAGTCCCGGGCTGCGACCCCTCTACGCCTACGCTGTAGGAGAGGGCGCGGGCCCTCGCTCCACCACCAAGGATAGGATCGAAAACCCGCCTCGCAAATAGGGCCGCGAAGCTTCTTCGAAGGATGCTCGTAATTTGGCGGAGGAGAATCGTGCGGGAGGCGAGCCGAGGGAGCAGAGTTTGGGGTCGGTAGGAGGGGGTTTGGAGGGAGCTGATCTGATGGGTTTGATGCAGGAGGTTTGTGCGGATTATGCTATTTTCGGCGCATTATTGGAATCGTGCGGGAGTTCAAAGTCTCTCGATCTGGGAAAGAGAGTTCATGATGCGTTGAGGAGGTCTCGCTTTCCGTCCTGGTGATCTTCGTGAAGGGGCCGAGGGGCCTGCTGGTGAAGGTGTGGCTGCTGGCGATGGCGACAGTGGGTCTGGTGGTGGTTGGGTCAAGCTACACCGGGTCGGCAATGAACCCGACGAACGCGTTTGATGGAAAAGCTCCGGCCGAACGAGAAGACGATGAATAGTAACTTCGAAGACGATCAACAGTAAACTCGCGATGAACAGTGCAATTTTTTCTTGAAAAAGACTATGAACAGTGCGATGAAAGTGATTTTGGACGGAAAAAAAAGTTTGGGATAAATGTGTCACAGAGTGCATAATTTGGGGTTTTTGGCGTCACAAAAAAATTTTGAGGTAAATGTGTCACATTGGGCATAGTTTGGGATTTTTGATAGTATTAACCCTTTTTCAAATTTTCAATTTTTGCTAGAAAAATATTTTCACGGAAAATGTTTTTGTTGACTCATTTTTCTAGGCGATCTACATGTCAAAAAATAAGGAAAAAGTTTCTTCCGAAAAATGTTTTCCGCAACACAAATAGAACCTTAGAATTTCCCCTAAAGTATGTAGCTAAATAGTTTAGGGATAATAACACAAATGGTCCCTAAACTTTGACCCAATGTGCAATGTGGTCTCCAAACTTTTAATTTATTCAATGTGGTCCCTAAACTTTAGCCTAATATTCAATGTGATGCCTAGGCTTTAGGTACATGTTCAATATAATCCCTGAATTATATGAAAATGTTCGGTGTAAATCCTGATCTTAAATTAATGAAAGGACTTAATTGAATATTTTCATATAGTTCAAGGACTAAATTAAACATGTACAAAAAATCTAGGCATCACAATAAACAAATTAAAAGTTTAGAGACCACATTGCATATTGACCTAAAATTCAAGGACTATTTGTGTCATTTTCCCAATAATTTACTAAAATTCTATGCTCAGCCAACGGCTAGAAGAAGCCGTGGGCAGGGCTAATTTTCCTCGGATGCAAGTTAGTGCTAATTTTCCCGGTCAGACCATGTCCATTCACTTTGGAATCATGCGCATCTGCGAACACCGGACATAAGTTTGAACCATCCGTTATCCAACAGTATTTCCTCGAGTATCCTATGAAACATGGCTTGTCTGCGGTGGAACTGAGAGACCATGAACGGATGCCGACAGAAACTTCAAGAAATCGGAACTGGAAGGACATCCTCCGGCCTAGAACTCAATCTGTGTCTACGGAGTGTACTTGGACTGTGGACATTCTCTTCGGCAACTCTGCAAACCGCGCGAAGCACCATGCTCTCCCGTAACCTCGTCGATGAATGGCTTCGACAACGATAAAAGAACGCATTTCCCGGAGATATGATAAGCCGATCACTTCAATTCAATGCGACAGCAACTCTTGTCAACATTAGTTCCCGTCGAAAAATAAAGGATGAACATCAATTGAGTAGGGTGTGACAGTGCAAGAGAATTTACAAAGAAGAGATGTTCTATTTTTCTCCATGTTGGCAGAAGTAATTGTATGTATGTCGACAATCAGTTAGAAGTGAACTAGTAGCAGTAGAAACAGGATTCTAGAATAGCTCTTCATGACTATCACCAGGAATGAACCCGATCCCTTCCGAAAAAGTTACATGAATATACTATGATTCCTAGAGCAGCCCATGATTCTATTTTCTTTTCTATAATCAACAAAAGAATTTCTAAAAAAATATTAGACTTGCTTTACATAATAAAGGAATCGTACATGCTGTAGCCTATCAAGCTGAGGATCTTGCCTTCATCAATGGAGGAAGTGGAGATTGAATTTCTAGAATACTCCTCGGTAAGGCTGCTACCGGTAGAAACTTTAGAAGCTCCAGTTTGGGTGCTGCTCGCATTAGTGTTGGTGAATGCGGAAGTCGCAGTAGTCGTCCAACGTCCCGTTCGCCCTTGAAGCCCAGGTTTTCCTGGTCCGGGCAATGTGAATGAATCACTAGAAAGCATGAGGTGCACCGAGTTCATATCCGGCCTTTCCGCATAACTTGCTTGACAGCATAGCAACCCTAGCTGAATACTCATTGCTGCCTCGTCAGGGTTGTATTTGGCGAGGCTTGAGTCCACCAGATCCAATGACTTCCCTTGCTGAAAGAGCTTCCATGTCTGCCAAAGGAATTGCGCGTGATGTTTAATTGACTCCGTGCATAGAAATGCAGTCCTTATTTTATATACGCATAGGAGAAAGAGAACAATATGCATTTGGAGATTAAGCTTAGGCAACTCATTAGAACAATGTCTATCTCATAACACAAGTTTTTCAATAAGTTCTAAAAGTTCATATTTCCAGACTTCTCCAGATTTTCACTACGGCTCTTGAGGGCCATTTTATTATCTGGCATTTACTTCGAATAACAAACATCTAAAGCACATCGTTGTTCAACGACAACAGATATTTCACTCTATTTGTTGATGCTTATACCTGAATTATGCAGATTTATTTCCTGATGTGTCTTCCATTTCCTAAAACACCCTGGAGAGAGAGAGAGAGAGAGAGAGAGAGAGAGAGATCTTGAGAATTGAATAGAAGTGAAGACATCTGATGAATCCGGCACACAGTTTGACAAAACAATATTAACTTGCATTTCTGCAATGGAATGCAAAATAAAAGTGCCAGATGTAATATATTCAAAGTAATGAAAATATGTCGCCTACCTCCATTCTACTAAAACACAGACAATATAAACCACTGCAACTCGTCAGGAACCAACCTAAACTAAAAGCAGATTAAGAACTTAATCTACCAAAGCCGAGTCAATCTCAGAAGTGTCGCCAGGCATTAATTCTCCAGTATAACAATCAATAATGGTACTTTATATGATCAAGCAACTTACATAACTCAGGAGGTCCGTTTTATCTCCACCGAGTTGGCTGTCATGATTCTTTCTCCCACTTACAATCTCTAACACCAGAACTCCGTAGCTAAAAACATCAGTTTTCACGGACAAATATCCACGCATTGCATATTCAGGAGCCATGTAACCACTACATCCCAAAACAAAAGGATCATTAGTTTCAATTGCATCATGAGTCAAGTCACGCAGAAGCATAAGAGTATGAGCGTTTTCCTGACCGCGTAAATGAGCAGTAATTAACCAATAAAATACGGAAGGAGAGCAATGTGACTACTTACTAATCCCCAGATATCTTGAATGTATTCAGATGCGTGTGATCGCCAGGAAAAAGCCTCGCCAAACCAAAATCTGAAATTTTGGGATTTAACTGATCATCAAGCAATATGTTACTAGCCTTAATGTCTCCATGGATAATCCTTTCAGGGGCTTCTTCATGCAGGTATAGCAGACCTCTCGCCACCCCAGTAATTATCCGGAACCGAGTTATCCAATCCAGCGACGCAGACTTTTCTTTAGCTGGAAAAGACAACTGAGTTAGCTCTACTTCCTGCTCAGATCTATGCTCAGTGAACCGGCAAGAGATTTATGTATCCTAGATCAGCTGATTAGGAGGAAGAATTACCAAAAAGGAAACGGTCAAGGCTCTTGTTTGACAGATACTCATAAACCAGCATCTTTTCCGGTCCTTCCACACAACAGCCCATCAGCATGACGAGGTTTCTGTGTTGAATTTTCAATAATAGCTTCACCTCGTTAGTGAATTCTCTCATTCCCTGTCTTGAAGTGAGAGACAGCTTCTTTACAGCTATTTCTTGGCCATTGGGCATCAACCCCTGGAAAAGAAAAGGCATGGAAACTACCAACATGCGTTCATATTGGACCGTGGAACCACCTTTCTAGTACAGTTTCGTTCAATTGAGAAACTGAAGTTAAAGTTGCTTAGGTTTCTCCCGTTGAACAGCAAAAAGGTCTAGTTTTTCCATGCGGAAAGTCGAAGGCAAAAGAACACCCGTAATTTTCGCAGTCGGGTGTTGAAGCATACAAACAGACAGCCCACGCAATATGCATCCAAAGCTCATACACCGGCGAAACCTCGTCATCAGAATCATCACTTCTCCGTTTGTTATACGAAGAACGAATGATTTGAAAAATATTTTCTTAAAAAATACTCTCTATCACGAATAAATAAAAAATATTTTTATAGTCCAAGGAAATATTCAAAACAAAAATTGTTGTCAAAAAATGAAAACTTTTTCCACAGATCGATTATTTCAAGCAACATAAGAGATCAATTTTAGGAAGATATTTTCTAAATCATTCCTTTTCCGTAAAAAAGGACTAAGTTTACTAATTTTTCTTTGCTACGAAAGTTCAGGCAGAATACTCAATTTCATATTGAACTCACAATCCACAATTCCAGCCCCACCATAAACCTGAAAGCAGAGGTGGGACGACTTGAAGCAGATCAAATCTCATTTTCACCGCAAAAAAAAAAAAAAAAAAAAAGCACGCGATTGTCCAAGATCGCCATTTTCAACCAGGCGAGAAAAGACGAAACGATTCAGCGACAGCACACAGGACTAATCCGTACGTCCGTCAAGACCGCGAATGCAAAAAGAATCGCGACAGAAAATACCTAAATCAAGACGGATCATCTACAAAATCCGAGGCTGAGAACTGCTCCTACCTTGAAAACGGGACCGAAACCGCCGTGACCGAGCTGGTTCAGCTCGGAGAAGAAGCCAGTGGCGACCTGGAGCGTCCGGTGGTCGAAGAAGAGGCTGGGGGAGGACTCGTCCCCGGCCTCCCCCTCCCCGGCCCTCCCGGCGCCGCCGCCGCCGCCGCAGGCCGCCGGTTTGTGCCTCTTGAGGCACGCGTAGAGGCTCGAGAAGATCGCCATCGCTCGCGCAAGACATGACATCGGCGGCGGCGGCGCGCAGGCGGTGGTCCGGCGAGAGGAGGAGGGGGAAGTTGGAATTTCGGGAGCGAATCGTCAGCGGCAGCGCGACGGAAGGGAAGAGTCGTTCGCAGTCGAAGTGGTTGCGCTTCGACGCGTGTACAGAGAGAATTGGTGGTTGACTTGACCTCGACGACTTATTACTTTAAAATTTAATTACTTTCCGGGAAAAAACACTCCCACCCATAAATTTGTTTTTGATTTTGATTTATTTGATTTAGGGTGCAATTTATAAAGATACTTTTTTTTAAAATAAAGTATTTTTTTATCTAAGAAAGAAATTCCAAATAGGGATACGTGCATTATAAGCCCTAAAATTTATCAAAAAAGATGCAATCGAGTCCTAAAACTTACAAAATATGCAATTGAGTTCTAAAACTTGTCAAATTAATTCAATTGAGTCCTAAAGTTAACACCGTCTAATTTACTAACGGAAAATGCTGACGTGGCGCTGATGTGTCTTATTTTATTGATTTCTTGAGACACGTGGCATCCAACAAGCGCCATGTCAGAAAAAGCTATAAAAATAATAAATTAAATTAGAAAAAGCTATAAAAAAAAAAAATGGAGAGCCTCACTGCCGAGCCCTTGCCAGTGGCCATCGCCACAGACGCCGGGAAGGTCTGGCGGAGGTCGCCTAGGCCTTCCCGAAGCTCGGTGACCCTCGTCGGATCTATCAAGGAATGCCTTGCTTGAGGCTGGCGACCTCCATTGGCCATCAACGAGGCACGGCAATGGCCAAGGGAGGGAAGAGGGAAAAAGAGAAAAAAAATAAAAAATATAATTAGAATTTTTTTTTTTCAAAATACCCCTTCCCCAACGGCTGGAGTAGTCACATGTTGGTCAGTCGGCCAAAAGTCCTTATTTGAGACGATTTGGCCACTTTTATACCTTTATTTGAGATTATTTGGTCATTTTAAGCCATTATTTGAAATAAAGTTTATTTTAGACACTTATTTGAGACTTTTCAAGCCATTATTTGAAATTTTCCCCAACAATAACGAGGAAGCTTTTTAGGGTCCGGTTCGTTAGTTTACAAAATTGATCCCGTATGTCACATGGACCATTAGATCAAAAGAAAAAAAAAACTTTGACCATTAGATGATTTTCGAAAAATATGACTTATGAACGTTTAAGGAGATTTACCGACTATATAAGATTGCTGATGTCACTAATCATAAAGAAAATGGTTAATACCATGAAAAACCCCAAACCGGTATACTTGTGACAATTTTATCACAAACTAAAGTTTTTTATCATAAAAAATTCCAAACTGGTAAACTTGTGACTTTACTTTCGATTACTTTTCGTTAAATTTTACCATCAAATTTCTGAGTTATATGACATGTGAAGTTGAAGGGTGTATCAATAGAGTTTTACCCCTCCGTTTATCACATGTGTATCAATTTGTGATTTTTCGTGGTATTAATCCAATTTACATAGAGTAAATTTATCACAAGTATATCGATTTGAGATTTTTCGTGGTATTAATCCTTAAAAAAAATTGAGTAACCGGAGGATGAGTACCCATTGATAAGGTTTTTAAGTTTACGTGTTGTAAAGGAATGTAATGAATGATTAATATAAAAGGAATAGATTTAAGGCTCCATTCATTTTCGGAAAGTTTAATGTTTTTGGAAAATATTTTTCAGGAAGCCATTTTGTAGAAAAATGATAATATTTTTTGGTGTTCGGTTGAAACTTAAAAACAAACTAGAAAATGTTTTCCACCATTTAGTATTTGATTTGATTTTTTAGTTATTTTTTATTTTAAAATCATATTTTCAAATTTTTTCTTTTTCTTTTGGCAAGGTCAAGCCTCACCGGCTTGTGGTGAGGCTCAAGGTCGCTTGTGGCGAGGCTCAAGGTCGCTTGTGGCTGATCACCGGTGGCACGGCGATGGCTGAGGAAGGAGCAAAAAGGAAAAAAGAAAGAAAAGAAAAAAATAAAATAAAATAATTAAAAACTTGATTTTTTTTAAAAAGGAAAAAAATACAAGGAAAATGTGTTTGGTGAAAGAAAGTGCTGGTCTAGAAGTGAAAGAAAGATAATGGAAGCGAAAAATATTTTCCTCACTTATGAACGTGTTTTTTTCATTGGTGGAAAATGTTTTTCTTGACTAGTTTATTTTTCATGAATCAAATGCCGAAAAATCCGGAAAACGTTTTCATGAAAATTATTTTTCATGAAAAGAACGAAGCCTAAGATACAATTATATTGTTTGTGCTTTTTCTTGATAAGTTATAAAGTTACAATATTCAACCTTATGAGATTTTTCAGTCCAAAAAAAAAGACCTTACGAGATTTCGACCTGAATTACTACATTCAAAAGATGGTTACTAATTTGTCATTTACAATGACCTATAGAAAAATTAGAATCATTGAGGACCATTACTAAGTATTGGTATCTTCATTTACGACAATTTGAGATATTTTACTGCACAAGTGATTAATTATTCGTATTAACATTTTGCTCTTACAAATTCTATAATGTTAAGACGTGATGCATGTGTGAGTTATGTTAGAGAAATCCAACATCGAAGAATTAGTGCAGTGTAGGACAGTTAATATACATCCCAGTTGGCTCATAATCCATTGACTTAAGCTTTTGAGTGAAAATAAGTCCGACTAAACATGTTAACATGCTCAAACTTGGGCTCTCTCTTGGTGATCTCTCAGAGCGAAAGGTATCGGGCTTCCGCTGCGCTCTTCCTGACTTATAGTTAAATGACCAATTTTCAAAGGTAACAATTAACTACAAGTACAAACGAGTTACTACCATTATAGTTAAATGACGACCCATAAATTATCGACAAGTGTAACCGATCTTACGATAATTTTATGTAAATTATGATAAATTCGAAAAAACGATAGCTAAACACAGCAACGGTCCCATTTCTCTACTCACCGAACCCTAAAAGTACCATAATAATGAACGAGTACCTTATTTTATTTACACGTTCGTACGAAAAAAACAAGGTACTTATTTATCAATAAAAAATACTAAATTTGCAACATATTAATCATAAATATCACGACAAAAACTAGATAAATTTCTCATTTGTTTTTTAACTTCAATAGCATCGATGAATTTTTTTTTGGGTAAAAAGAAAAATTTATATTAAGGTGTCTTTTTCTATCTCTAGACTATGAAATTCTACTGCGCTTATTGCAAATGATGTAAGCAATGACTCAAGTTGAGAAAATCAGGCCCTTGTTGGTGAAATTTTGTTTTCATTAGATTGATAAATGTGTTACGAAGCCTCCCTAATCCTGAAGGCTAACTCGAATCAAGTTCAGGGACAATATATAGTTTATGAAATAAATTGAATATATACCAAAAGTCTAGGAATCACATTTAAGTTCGGGGACGACATTGCACCTTAGCCTAAAGTTCATGGATCACATTGAATAAATTAAAAGTTCATGGACCACATTGCACGTTAGGTTAAAATTCAGGAACTATTTGCGTCATTTCCCTAATATAAAACATGAATCATAGGACTTCGTTCCTCATTCATCCTAAAAGATTACTTCAAATTTTAACCACCTAAAAACAAAACAAATGGTTTAGGGTCAGTCCAGGATCGATTTGCTGGTTCGGTTCAGCACCCTGACCCTAAAACCAGATTGCATAGTTCCAGCTCCCAATTTTTGGGCTAGATTGTTTCCCGCGGGAATCGGGCCAACTTGACCTGCACAATTCTAGTCCGATCTGATTCCACGGTCTACCTCAGACCGGTGCTCACGCGGGTCCTCTTGGCACCGCTGCGACACGCCGGCTTGAGCCTCTTGAGGCACCTATAGAGGCTGGAGAAGATCGCCATCGGTTGCTCAAGACAAGACATTGGCGGATCGGGGCTCCCGGTCGCTCGGACCGAAGTTGGTAGCGACGACGCGCGTGCGGATCGCGAGGTGGTCCGACGAGAGGAGGTCGAAGTTGAATTTCCAAGCGAATCGTCCACGACGGAAGAGTCGTTCGCAGTCGAAGAGGTTGCCTTCGAGCTTCGCATAAATGGAATATGACGAGACGACGCGGGTGAGAGTTGGTGGTTGACTTGACCTTGACCACTCATTACTTTCCAGGAAAACACACTCCCACTCATAAATTTTCTTTTAATTTAATTTATTTAGACTCCATTTATTTCTCGAAAAATAAAAAAATTTAAAAAATATTTTTTATATTACTTGAAATAATTAGTCAATAAAAAATAGTTGGGTTAATATTACGAAAAACTCCAAATTGGTACATCTGTGATAAATTTACCCTAAACTAATTTTTTAACCACCAAAAACCCCAAACTAATTTTTTGACCACAAAAAATCTCAAATTGGTACATTTGTGACAAATTTACCTTTCGTTAGTTTCCATTAAATTGGATTAATATCCAAAAAAATCACAAATTGATACACATGTGACAAACGAATGGTAAAACCCAAAATCAGTATATCTGTTAACTGTCGCGTGTAATTTAACAAAGCAATTTGACAATAAAATTTAACGAAAACTTATGAGGGGTAAATTTGTCATAAGTATACAAATTTTGGGTTTTTTGTGGTCAAAAAATTAATTTGGGGTAAATTTATCACAGGCAAAAATAGTTTCATCATCAATAATAATTTATGTCTACACATTTTTGTGGACGGTAAAATATTTTATGTTAATTCATTTTGTAAGCGATACAAGTGATCATTTTTAGGAAAGTATTGTTTAAATCCTTTTATTTTTCGCAAAACATATACACCCTAAATTGATAACGAGTAAGAAAGTTTACATGGTCCTGAAGGCTCACTCAATTTCTTTTCCAATAGTATTTTTCTTATTTAGTTGATGACTTTTTTGCTTAAGCCTCATTTTAAATAAAAGTTGTGTGTTTATAAAAAATGACAAAAAAAAAAAGATTAGTAAAGAAATAACGTCGTGCTATTTATGGTATAAATTGTACAAGAGCGATCTAAATAATTACGTGATAAAAAATAGGGTTATTCGATTAGTCCTGAACTTATTGTACGAGTGCCAATTTAAATTTAAACATTTTAGTTGGCCAATTTAATACTAAATCTTTGTATGAAATTTTGATGTAGCTCTTCGGTTAATTTTTGCTGGAAATCACTAACTTTGACAGTCTAGTTGTTGTCGGCCGTGCTACGTGGCACACTTTCACGTTAGTGATTTCTGGCAAATTGACTAAAAGGACTATATTGGAATTCAACGTAAAAGTTTATGACTCAATTGAAAAAATTAAAATATTTAAAATTGAATTGACATTTGATAAATATGTTTAAGATTGATTGAACAATTTCCCCTCAAGAAAATGTTTAAACCAAACTTTGAATCCACGAAAGATTGGTGAGATATTAGAGAAGCTATGTTTGTGATTTTAAAACACCATCTTTGAATATTGCTTATTAATATATTTCCATCATGAATAGGTCCACTTCGATTGACATTAGTTTTTTGGGAGTAGATGGACATTAGTTTGAAAAGCCAGATCAGAATAACTTTTAACTCAAATTGTCATTTTTTAAAGGGTTAATACCAGGAAAAACTCTCAACTGATATATTTGTGACAAATTTACCTTAAACTAATTTTTTTTACCACAAAAAACCCTAAACTGGTACACCTGTGACAAATTTACACCAAACTAATTTTTTAACCACCAAAAACCCCAAATTGATATACTTGTGACAAATTTGCCCTGCATTAAATTGGATTAATATCACGAAAAATCATAAATTGGTAAATCTATGACAAATAGAGAGGTAAAACTCTAAATTGGTATACTCGTTAACTGCTACGTGTCATCCAACTCAGCAATTTGACAGTAAAATTTAATGGAAACTAAAGAAGGGTAAATTTGTCATAGGTGTACCAGTTTGGGGTTTTTTGTGGTCAAAAAATTAGTTTGGAGTAAATTTGTCACAAGTGTATTAGTTTAGAGTTTTTCGTGATATTAACCCTTAATATATTTTTCCATCATGAATAGGTCCACTTCGACGGGCATTAGTTTTTGGGAAAATTTCAAATAATGACCCGAAGTGCCCTCATTTTCTCAAATAAAGGATCTGAAATGGATTTTGTGTCAAATAAGGACATGAAGTGCTCTCTTTTCCTCAAATAAGAGCTTGAAGTGGTTATAACAGTTTCAAATAAAGGCCTCACTCTATCAGCTCGCCGGCCGGCCAAATTTTCCGACCGATCAAGGGCATTTTCATCCAAAAATAATTTAAATATAAATTTTAATAAAATAAATAAATAAATAAATAACAGGGGAGGGCTAGGAGGGCTCGCCCGCCTATGTCCGCCGGCGCTTCAGCGAGGGCCGGCGACCCTCGCTGACCAGAGGTGAGGGCCTGGTGGCCCTCGCTAGAACCGGGAGGGTCGGGAGACCCTCTCTCAAACCTGGGCGAGGGCCGCCAAACCTATGCAACGGCCGAGGGCCCTCCCGCAAACTTGGGCGAGGGCCGGCGACCCTCGCCAGATTTGGGAGAGGGTCGCCCGACCCTCTCGATTCTGGCCAGGGCCACCAGGCCCTCACCTCTAACTGGCGAGGGTCGCCGGCCCTTGCTGAAGCGCCGGCGACCCTGCCAGCCATGGCCGCCGCACCACTGGTGATGGGACGGCGGCTACAGGCAGGGGAGGGCTGGCCCTCCCCCTGTTTTTTTATTTTAAATTTTTTGAGTTTTTTTATGGAAAAAAACCACAAAAGGAAAGAAAGAAAGAAAAAAATTAAAAGACAAAAATGCCCTCGACTTCGGTAAGGCTATGCCCTTTTTTGAGACTAAGATAACCACTTCAAGCCCTTTTTTGAGACAATGTTTACTTCAGATCCTTATTTAAGAAAATGAGGGCACTTCATATTCTTATTTGACACAAGGTTCACTTCATGTCTTTATTTAAGAAAATGAGAGCACTTTGGGTATTTATTTGAAATTTTCCCTTAGTTTTTTAAGAAGTAGGTGGACATTAGTTTGAAAAGTCAGATCAGAATAACCATTTGAATCAAAGTTGTCATTTTTTTTGAATTAGTCATTTAATCAACGTAGGTTAATTAAATTCAAGGTGGCTAATTTGGGTCGGAGACCTTTATGAATAATAAAATATATGCTCAATTGTTTTTTTTTTCTCAAAGTTGTTTTTCCATCTCAACCTCTGATTTGTCCCACGTTGGTGAGATTTGAAAAATTTTGAACTGGGTTGTAGAGAAAAGGGTCTCATTGGACAGTTACAGAGCGCCCCTCCACTCCCAATGAATTTAATAATCAAGGAAACCCAAATTGAAAAAGATGAAAAAACAAGAAAAGGGAGAAGGTGATGATGAGGTAGGTCAATGCTTGCAAGAAAGCGAGGCTAATAAGTCTAAGAAAAGGCAAGAGACTTGGGAGGAATCACGTTAGATTCAGGAAGCAATCCACTGATTGGCTTGCCTCGAATTATAAAAACTAAGGAAAGGGAAAGGGTGGAGCCTTGCTTTTTCTTGATGGTTGCGGGACGTTCGTGTCTCTTTCGGCGAAGATGCTTCTTGTTCACGTCTATCCATCTGGAGAGAGAAGAGAAGTTGGCAAAGAGACGAGAGAGAGAGAGAGAGAAAGAGGAACGACTCCAGTAAAAATGCGTTCGACTTTTGTCGGTCTGATGATGAAGGTGCCCCGACAGTTCTGCAATTATGGCGCCATGTGCGAGATGTAATATTCATTCATAATTTCAAGGGTTAAAGCCGATTCTTCTTCTTCTTCCTTTTTTACAGTTATTACTTTTAATTATTTTTTTTAGGAGTGAAAGCTAAGGAATGAGAGCAATGCAATGGATAGGAAAGCTTGATTTACAAAGTGATGCGACGGGTTCTTATTGAGCGTTTAAATGGACCCATAAATTTTACGGAACGGTCATAATTTGTCGTGTCGTTCCACTTCTTTGGAACCAATTTGGCAAAGTGTGCTTTTTTGGATTTAGAATGCACTAGGTGGCTATTGACCTTAATTCAACCTAGTAATTTGCAGATTTGAGATCTGATCATCCCTCGATTCACATGCTCATAATGATCTCGAAGATTAGGCTCGTGCTTCTATGGCTAAAGCCTTGCAGGCACATATAGATAGGGCGGTTTATGTGCATTCCGAAGATTGGTTGAGTCAAAAGCTTGGATATCCTGCGTTGTAAGAAAAAAAAATATCATCAATGCCAATGTGTACCATCTTGCGGGGATATGATTAGAATTGCATTACTCATTGGTAGAGTTATGTGACCGTTCACCAGAGAAACATTTCGGATAAGTAGTTTAAATTCGAATTGTATCTCAAATTTTAGCGGGAAAGTAGGAAGAATGGACAAAGTACCGTGAGAATGAGAGATGAGGGAATTAAGTCAAAGGATAGATAAATATAAGTTTAGGGAGGGTGGAAAAAGAATATTCAATTTGGCTCTGTTTGTTTTGTGAAAAATATGATATTTCAGGAAAATAATTTCCGGAAAATCATTTTCCAAGAAAATGATAATATTTTTCGGTATTTGATTGAAACCTAATAATGAAGTAGAAAAAATTTTCCGTTGTTTGGTAAAATCGACAAACATTATTCAAGCACTAGTAACTGGCGCATGGGCAACCAAGGAACTCGGCATGGGCACTGGGGTCTCAAGCCCAAATCCCCGACTTTTGCACATGGGCATGGACACTGATCTTGGGTCCATTGAAACCAAGCCCAAGAACTTGGTGCCCGTGCCTGGCTCCGTAGCACACCAGCCTGAGTCTATAGAGGTCGGGTCCAAGTCCCTGGTGGCTAAGCCTGGGTCCATCAAGGTTGAGCCCCGTACCCCAGCACCTAAGACCTAATAGACCCTTGCGCCCAAGCCTAGGTCAATCGAGGCCAGGCCTTTAACCCGGCACCCGGGCCTCTAACCTGCGCTTGGACCTAGGTCCATCAAGGTCGAGCTCAAGACCTTGGAGTCCACGCTCGAGTCTATCGAGGCCAAGGCTCAATCCCTAGCACCCAGGCTTGGGCCCGAGTGCTGGGGACTCGACCCTACTGCCAAGGGCCTAGGAATAAGTGTTGGGGCTTCTATGCCCAAGAGCAAACTTTTTAATTCAAGTGCCGATACATAGTCATATTTTTAAAAATTATTTTCGCTTTTTTAAAGAGAATCATTTTTCAAAATTTAAATTTTTGCTAGACAAACATTTTCCGTCGATTAGAAAAATATTTTCACGGAAAATGTTTTATGTTGACTCATTTTTCTAAGCGATCTAAATGCCAAAAAATAAGGAACAAGTTTCTTTCGAAAAATGTTTTCCGCAACATAAATGAAACCTTAGAATTTCCCCTAAAGTATGTAGCTAAATAGTTTAGGGATATTTTTAGCAAAAATATATATATAGTTTAGGAATAATGACACAAATGGTCCATAAACTTTGACCTAATGTACAATGTGATCCCTAAACTTTTAATTTGTTTAATATGATCTTGAACTTTAGCCTAATATTTAATGTGGTGCCTAGACTTTTGGTACATGTTCAATGTAATTCCTAAACTATATGAAAATGTTCAATGTAGACCCTGATGTTAAATTAACGAAAGGACTTAATTGAATATTTTCATATAATTCAAGAACTAAATTGAACAAGTATCAAAAGTCTAGGCATCACATTGATTAAATTAAAAGTTCAGAGACCATATTCCACATTGACCCAACATTCAAGGACTTTTTGTGTCATTTTCCCAATAATTTATTAAAATTCTATGCTCATCCAACGGTTAGAAGAGGCCATGGGCATCACTAATTTTCCTCAGATGCAAGTTAGTGCTAATTTTCCCGGTCAGACCATGTCCATTCACTCTGGAATCAAGCGCACCCGCGAACACCGGAAATAAGTTTGAACCATCCGTTATCCAACAGTATTGCCTCAAGTATCCTATGAAACATGGCTTGTCTGGGGTGGAACTGAGAGACCATGAACGGATGCTGACAGAACTTCAAGAAATCGGAACTGGAAGGACACCCTCCGGCCTAGAACTCAATCTGTGTCTACAGAGTGTACTTGAACTGTGGACATTCTCTTCGGCAACTCTGCAAACCGCGCGAAGCACCATGCTCTCCCGTAACCTCGTCAATGAACGGCTTCCACAACAATAAAACAATGCATTTCCCAGAGATATTATAAGCCAATCACTTCAATTCAATGCGACAGCAACTCTTGTCAACAATAGTTCCCACCGAAAAATAAAGGATGAACATCAATTGAGTAAGGTGTGACAGTGCAAGAGAATCCACAAAGAAGAGATGTTCTATTTTTCTCCATGTCGGCAGAAGTAATCGTATGCATGTTGACAATCAGTTAGAAGTGAACCAGTAGGAGTAGAAACAGGATTCATTCTAGACTAACTCTTCATGACTATCACCAGTAATGTACCCGATCCCTTCCGAAAAAGTTACATGAATATACTATGATTCCTAGAGCACCCCGCGATTCTATTTTCTTTTCTATAATCAACAAAAGAATTTCTAAAAAAATATTAGACTTGCTTTACATAATAAAGGAATCTTACATGCTCTAGCCTATCAAGCTGAGGTCATCTGCCTTCATCAATGGAGGAAATGGAGATTGAATTTCTAGAATACTCCTCAATAAGGCTGCTACCAGTAGAAACTTTAGTAGCTCCAGTTTGGGTACTGCTCGCATTAGTGTTGGTGAATGCGGAAGTCGTAGTAGTCGTCCAACGTCCCGTTCGCCCTTGAAGCCCAGGTTTTCCTGGTCTGGGCAATGTGAATGAATCACTAGAAAGCATGAGGTGCACCGAGTTCATATCCGGCCTTTCCACATAACTTGCTTGACAGCATAGCAACCCAAGCTGAATACTCATTGCTGCCTCATCAGGGTTGTATTTGGCGAGGCTTGAGTCCACTAGATCCAATGACTTCCCTTGCTGAAAGAGCTTCCATGTCTGCCAAAGGAATTGCGCGTGATGTTTAATTGACTCCGCGCATAGAAATGCAGTCCTTATTTTATATATGCATAGGAGAAAGAGAACAATATGCATTTGGAGATTAAGCTTCGGCAACACATTAGAACAATGTCTATCTCATAACACAAGTTTTTCAATAAGTTCTAAAAGTTCAGATTTCCAGACTTCTCCAGCTTTTCACTACGGCTCTTGAGGGCCATTTTATTATCTGGCATTTACTTTGAATGACATGCATCTAAAGCACATCGTTGTTCAACAACAACAGATATTTCACTCTATTTGTTGATGCTTGTAACAGAATTATGCAGATTTATTTCCTGATGCGTCTTCCATTTCCTAAAACACCCTGGTGAGAGAGAGAGAGATAGTGAGAGAGAGAGAGAGAGATCTCCTTGAGAATTGAATAGAAGTGAAGACATCTGATGAATCCGGCACTCAGTTTGACGAAACAATATTAACTTGCATTTCCGCAATGGAATGGAAAATAAAAGAGCCAGATGTAATATATTCAAAGTAATGAAAATATGTCACCTACCTCCATTCTACTAAAACACGGACAATATAAACCACTGCAACTCGTCAGGAACCAACCTAAACTAAAAGCAGATTAAGAACTTAATCTACAAAGCCGAGTCAATCTCAGAAGTGTCACCAGGCATTAATTCTCCAGTATAACAATGAATAACAGTACTTTATATGATCAAGCAACTTACATAACTCAGGAGGTCCGTTTTTTCTCCACCGAGTTGGCTGTCATGATTCTTTCTCCCACTTACAATCTCTAACACCAGAACTCCGTAGCTAAAAACGTCAGTTTTCACGGACAAATATCCACGCATTGCATATTCAGGAGCCATGTAACCACTACATCCCAAAACAAAAGGATCATTAGTTTTAATTGCATCACGACTCAAGACAAGCAGAAGCATAAGAGTACGGGCGTTTTCCTGACCGCGTAAATGAGCAGTAATTAACCAATAAAATACGGAAGGAGAGCAATGTGACTACTTACTAAGTCCCGGATATCTTAAATGTATTCAGATGCGTGTCATCACCAGGAAAAAGCCTCGCCAAACCAAAATCTGAAATTTTGGGATTCAACTGATCATCAAGCAATATGTTACTAGCCTTAATGTCTCTATGGATAATCCTTTCAGGGGCTTCTTCATGCAGGTATAGCAGACCTCTTGCCACCCCAGTAATTATTCGGAACCGAGTTATCCAATCCAGTGACGCAGCCTTTTCTTTAGCTGGAAAAGACAACTGAGTTAGCTCTACTTCCTGCTCAGATCTAGGCTCAGTGAACCGGCAAGAGATTTATGTATCCTAGACCAGCTGATTAGGAGGAAGAATTACCAAAAAGGAAACAGTCAAGGCTCCTGTTTGACAGATACTCATAAACCAGCATCTTTTCCGGTCCTTCCACACAACAGCCCATCAGCATGACGAGGTTTCTGTGCTGAATTTTCAATAATAGTTTCACCTCGTTAGTGAATTCTCTCATTCCCTGTCTTGAAGTGAGAGACAGCTTCTTTACAGCTATTTCTTGGCCATTGGGCATCAACCCCTGGAAAAGAAAAGGTATGGAAACTATCAACATGCGTTCATATTGGACTGTGGAACCACCTTTCTAGTACAGTTTCATTTGATTGAAAACCGAAGTTAAAGTTGCTTAGGTTTCTCCTGTTGAACAGCAAAAAGGTCTAGTTTTTCCATGCGGAATGTCAAAGGCAAAAGAACACCCGTACTTTTCGCAGTCGGGTGTTGAACCATACAAACAGACAGCCCACTCAATATGCATCCGAAGCTCATACACCGGCAAAACCTCGTCATCGAAATCATCACTAGTCCGTTTGTTATATGGAAAATGGATAATTTGAAAAATATTTTCTTAAAAATAACTATTTGTATCGCTTACAAAAATGAACAAACGAAAAATATTTTTATCGTCCACGGAAATATTCAAAACAAAAATTGGTGTCAAAAAATGAAAACTTTTTCCGCGGATCGATTATTTCAAGCAACGTAAGAGATCAATTTTAGGAAGATATTTTCCAAATCATTCCTTTTCCGTGAAACAAAAGGCCTAAGTTTACTAATTTTTCTTCGCTACGAAAGTTTAGGCAGAAACATTCTGAAAAGGAAGACACCATCACGATACAGAACACTCGATTTCATATTGAACTCACAATCCACGATTCCAGTCCCACCATAAACCTGAAAGCAGAGGTGGGACGACTTGAAGCAGATCAATCTCATTTCGCGACAAAAGGTAGCACGCGATTGTCCGAGATCGTCATTTTCAACCAGGCGAGGAAAAACGAATCGATACAGCGACAGAATACAGGACTAATCCGTACGTTCGTCAAGACCGCGAACGCCAAAAAACCATGGCGACAAAAAAAAATACCTAAATCAAGGCGGATCACCTACAAAATCCGAGGCGGAGAACTGTTTCCTACCTTGAAAACGGGACCGAAACCGCCGTGACCGAGCTGGTTCAGCTCGGAGAAGAAGCCAGTGGCGACCTGGAGCGTCCGGAGGTCGAAGAAGAGGCTGGGGGAGGACTCGTCCTCAACTTCCTCCTCCCCGGCCCTCCCGGCGCCGCCGCCGCCGCAGGCCGCCGGCTTGTGCCTCTTGAGGCACGCGTAGAGGCTCGAGAAGATCGCCATCGCTCGCGCAAGACATGACATCGGCGGGCCGGAGATGGCGGAGGCGGCGGCGCGCAGGCGGTGGTCCGGCGAGAGGAGGAGGCGGAAGTTGGAATTTCCGGAGCAAATCGTCAGCTCGACGGAAGGGAAGAAACGTTCGCAGTCGAAGTAGTTGCGCTTCGAGCTTCGCATAAATGGAAGCATGACGAGACGACGCGTGTAGACAGAGAATTGGTGGTTGACTTGACCGCGACGACTTATTACTTTAAAATTTAATTACTTTCCGGGAAAAAACACTCCCACCCATAAATTTGTTTTTGATTTTGATTTATTTGATTTAGGGTGCAATTTATAAAGATACTTTTTTTTTTAAAATAAAGTATTTTTTTTATCAATAATAAGAAAGAAATTCCAAATTGGGATATGTGCACCAGAAGTCCTAAAACTTGTCACAAAAGTGCCATTGAGTTCTAAAACTTGCAAAATGTGCAATCGAGTCCTAAAATTTATCAAATTGATTCAATCTAGTCCTAAGGTTAACACCGTCTAATTTACTAACGGAAAATGCTGACGTGACGCTAACGTATCTTATTTTATTAATTTCTTGAGACACGTGGCGTCCAATAAGTTCCACGTCAGAAAAAAATAAAAATAATAAATTGAATTAGAAAAAGCTCAAAAAAAATAATAGAGAGCCTCACCACCAAGCCATTGCCAGTGGCCATCGCCACAGACACCAGGAAGGGGTGGCGAAGGTCGCCTAGGCCTTCCTGCAGCTCGGCGACCCTCGCCGAATCAATAGAGGAATGCCCTCGCCTGAGGCTGGCGACCTCCATTGGCCATCGACGAGGCACAACAATGGCCAAGGGAGGGAAGAGGGAAAAAGAGAAAAAAAAAGTAAAGTAAAATAATAAAAAATATAATTAGAATTTTTCTTTTCAAATACCCCTCCTCCGATGGCCAGAGTAGTCACATGATGGCCAATCGGCCAAAAGTTCTTATTTGAGACGATTTGGCCACTTTATACCTTTATTTGAGATGATTTGGCCATTTTAAGCCCTTATTTGAAATAAAGTCCACTTTAGGCACTTATTTCAGACAATGAGGGCATTTCGGGCCCTTATTTGAAATTTTCCCCAATAATAACGAAGAAGCTTTTTAGGGTTCGATTCCGCAGTTTATGGAATCGATCCCGTATGTCACATGGACCATTAGATCAAAAGAAAAAAAAACTTTGACCATCGGATGATTTTTGAAAAAGAATGACTTACCAACGTTTAAGGAGATTTACCAACTATATAAGATTGCTGATGTCACTAATCATAAAAGAAAATCGTTAATACTATGAAAAACCCCAAACCAGTACACTTGTGACAATTTTATCACAAACTAAAATTTTGACCATAAAAAATCTCAAACTGATAGACCTATGACAACTTTACTCTCGATTACTTTTCATTAAATTTTACCATCAAATTACTGAGTTATATGACATGTGACAGTTGAAAGGTATACCGGTAGAGTTTTAACCCTCCGTTTATCATATGTGTATCAATTTGTGATTTTTCGTGATATTAATCCAATGTATAGAGAGTAAATTTATCACAAGTGTTTCAGTTTAGGATTTTTCGTGATATTAATCCTAAAGAAAAATTGCGTCGGAGGATGAGTACCCATTCATAAGGTTTTTAAGTTTACGTGTTGTAAAGGAATGTAATGAATGATTAATATAAAAGGAATAGATTTAAGGCTCCATTCATTTTCGGAAAGTGTAATGTTTTTGGAAAATATTTTTCAGGAAGCCATTTTGTAGAAAAATGATAATATTTTCTGGTATTCGGCTGAAACTTAAAAACGAACTAGAAAATGTTTTCCGCCATTTAGTATTTGATTTGATTTTTTAGTTATTTTTTATTTTAAAATTTTTTTTTCAACTTTTTTCTTTTTCTTTCGACGAGGTCAAGCCTCACCAGCCTGTGGCGTGGCTCAAGGTCGCCTGTGGCTGATCGCCGGTGGCACGGCGACGGCTGAGGAAGAAGCAAAAAGGAAAAAAGAAAGAAAGGGAAAGAATAAAATAAAATAATTAAAAACTCGATTTTTTTAAAAAAGAAAAAAATACAAGGAAAATGTGTTTGGTGAGAGAAAGTGCTGGTCTAGAAGTGAAAGAAAGATAATGGAAGCAAAAAATATTTTCCTCACTTATAAACGTGTTTTTTCCATTGATGGAAAATGTTTTCCTTGACTAGTTTAATTTTCACGAACCGAACGCCGAAAAATCTGGAAAACGTTGTCATGGAAATTATTTTTCATGAAAAGAACGAAGCCTAAGATACAATTATATTGTTTGTGCTTTTTCTTGAAAAGTTATAAAGTTACAATATTCAACCTTATGAGATTTTTTAGTCCAAAAAAAAAAAACCTTACGAGATTTTGACGTGAATTACTACATTCAAAAGATGGTTACTAATTCGTCATTTACAATGACCTATAGAAAAATTAGAATCATTGAGGACCATTACTAAGTATTGGTATCTTCATTTACGACAATTTGAGATATTTTACTGCACTAGTGATTAATTATTCGTATTAACATTTTGCTCTGACGAATTCTATATTGTTAAGATGTGATGCACGTGTGAGTTGTGTTAGAAAAATCCAACATCGAAAAATTAGTGTGGTGTAGGACAGTTAATATACATCCTAGTTGGCTCATAACCCATTGACTTAAGCTTTTGAGTAAAAATAGGTTCGACTAAATATGTTAACATGCTCGGACTTGGGCTCTCTCTCGGTGATCTCCCTTAGCGAAAGGTATCGGGCTTCTACTGCGCTCTTCCTGACTTATAGTTAAATGACCAATTTTCGAATGTAATAATTAACTACAAGTACAAACGAGTTACTACCATTACAGTTAAATGACGACCCATAAATTACCGACAAGTGTAACCGATCTTACGATAATTTTATGTAAATTATGATAAATTCGAAAAAACAATAGCTAAACACGGTAATGGTCCCATTTCTCTACTCACCGGACCCTAAAAGTACCATAATAGTGAACGGGTACCTTATTTTATTTACACGTTCGTACGAAAAAATAAGGTACTTATTTATCAATAAAAAAATACTAATTTTGCAACATATTAATCATAAATATCATGACAAAAACTAGATAAATTTCTCATTTGTTTTTTAACTTCAATAGCATCGATGAATTTTTTTTTTGGGTAAAAAGAAAATTTTATATTAAGGTGTCATTTTCTATCTCTAGACTACGAAATTCTACTGCGCTTAGTGCAAATGACGTAAGCAATGACTCAAGTTGAGAAAATCAGGCCCTTGTTGGTGAAATTTTCTTTTCATTAGATTGATAAATGTGTTACAAAGTCTCCCTAGTCCTCAAGGCTAACTCGAATTATTTTTCATTAAATTTCTTTTCCTAATCCTTTTTTTTCTATCATTTTGTGTGATATTCAAAATAAATAATGTCCTCAAATTCGTTTTCTTTTTACCATTATCTTGCCATTGTTTTCTATATTTGAGGACCATATGATCTAAAGTTATAAAACTCGGGATTTAAGCTATCCTATAGATATTGAAAATCAATCGTCTTTTCATCATATACATTGTCGGTTGTATTGCAATTTTCTTGAGTTATCGTAAGCAAATTTTTATAAATATCTCGATTTCGATGTTTGCTTGCTCGTTCAGCCCACCCATGTCTTCGATTGGTGCGTAAAATTTAACATTTGGTTAATGGTGCACTAGCGAAAAACCACCCGCATTCTGCGTGCGCATAAAAAAGTGAAAAGGGTTTATTAAAGAAATAAATTTGTGCGATTTTGAATAATTGCGTGATAAGAAATATTCAACCTTTAAACTTCGAATCTACGAGAGATTCGTGAGACACAAACAAAGCTATGTATGCGATTTTAAAATACCAATTTGACTCACGAATATGTCCACTTTGACCAGAATAACCTTTTAAAATAAATTTGTCGTTTTTTCAAATTAGTCCGGGATATTATATAAGTCAATCAAATTCAAGGCGGCTAATTTGGAACGGAGACCTTCATGAATAATAAAAATATATGCTCGATTTTTTTTTTCTCCAACTTGTTTTTCCATCTCAACCTCGGATTTTGTCCCAACGTTTTCGTCGTTTTTCATTTGTCCACATCGATGTCCCAATCTCATCCCGTTGAATTCTTGAATTCTCGAATTAGAATAAGTGTTTAGATGTCCATTTCTTCCCGGAGGCGTTCTTCCCCATCGTTTTACTCAAATCACCCTTTTGTAAGCATTGGACCAAAATACTCTTCAATTAAAAATTCAACTTTTTAATTGTTCTTCCTTTATCTCATATCTCATTGTGGCAGGATCCCACTCTCCCACCGTAAAAGAATTTCTCCTAAAACAATTATAGACTCTCTTTATGTCTCAAAGATTTAAACGAACTCGTCCGCGCCCCTACCCTGTGTTGAGCCCATCACCGTGCGCCGGCATCATCACCGGCTTTCACACACTATCACAGTTGCGCTTGTCACGCTTCGATCACTCGCCTCTCCCGTCACAGCACGACCGTTGTTCTTCTCCTTGCTTCTACCGTCACAACGAGATCAGTTGCTCTTCTCGCTCAGATCTGAATGTGCGATGGTGACGGTGTGAAAGTCGGGGATAGTGGTGGCGCGCAGTGGTGGCTCGGCATATGGGGGTAGGGGCGAGAGCAAGTCTGGTTCGAACTTTGAGGCATCAAGAGAGTCTGATAATTGTTTTATGAGACATTTTTCTTATGCACCTCTTTGCTCAATTTGGTCGAGCCAAGAAAAAATAGTACTTCGAGTCGTAGCACAAGCATCAACTAATGAGGGTGGGCGACGGAGGAGATAAAAGAGAGAAAAATTGGGAAGTTGAACTTTCATTTGAAGGGTATTTTGGTCCACTATTCAAAGGAAGTTGATTTTAGCAATACCTAGCAATCAACACGCGCGCGCAGATTGTTAGCGTAAGGCTAGTGAGGGCGCGAATGATAATTATTTTGTTTAAGAAATCTATTTCTGGTCAGAAATAAATTTTTCTATTTTTGTTCCTTAGACAAGTTTATGAGCAAAGATATGTGTTTGATAACGACACAAAATTTCCATTCATCGATGGGCAGAAACGGTCGGTTGGCCAGCGGGGGTGGCGGCGGTTTGCCGATTGGTAGGCGATG